GCTTCGTCCCTGCGATCTCTGACATCGGGTTTGCAACTGGGCACAGAGATGGTGCAGCATCTGTCAACACGAACAGCTTGTCGGGCTGCTTGACATGAGGTTTAAGGACGGCTTGACTTCGTGTCAGCTGAAAGGCCAGTGGGGGATGCTTTTTGCCGCCATGTGCCGATGACACCGGCTTGAATGTCGAGACATTTGGCTTTGCCTGTTCTCTACAACTAAATGTGTTGACGATCCCGTTCTGAGGCGAGCAGTCGTCACCAAGCCTGACCTCGAGTCTGAGGTCTCTATCCTAACTCTTTGACGGCCCATTCCTTTGAATGAGCACTCGTCACTATGCTACATGCCTGCTACACAGTGGTCGTCTGTGGAGTCAGAACCAGAACAATGACACCATGCGGTTCAACATCCATCGAAACGGATCCGCTCATAATGCCCAAGTCCTTCTGCTCCGTTGCAGAATACACTGAGACGTTGGTTTCTGGGCGGAGCCACAGCGTCTCCCACGCTACCGAAATAGATTCTGTTGTGTAGAATATGTTGTGCTGATTGTAGGCCCCGGCGACGTTGACCAGTGCCACAGCCACGGCACCCTCAGCAAGCGGTTTCACCCACACATCTGTGTGGTAGCAATCGGAGATGGGGCAAAAATTCTTCTGCTTCCGGACAGCGAGGCGGGCAGCTATGCCCAAAGGGTCCTGATTGATCTTGAGGAGCGCTTGGTTCCTCATGAGCTCGGTTACCCACGCCTTGCTAGGCTTTGCAACATCATAGCCAAGAATCAGAGGGGAGCTCCACATTGACCACATTGCATGCTCGGTTGCTGCCTCCCGTCTTGTTAAGTTGGATGCCGGGAAGATGTCCCTGTTGTACAGGAAGCCATCAACTCCCCCCTCCAGCATGTCTGCGTAAGCATATGCGCCAGGTCTCGTTGAAGCGGGAATTGCTAACACCTGGGCATAATACTCGTATATTTCTTCGACACGGTGCCACTGCGGAAAGTTGTCCCACAGCACCCGAAACGAGTTTGCGATTTGTGGTGCGAACGCAAGTGTGTCATCTTCGCCCCAATCACAAATCTCCAGGTACATTGTTCGACCCGAGCTGTTTAATGCGGCGCTGAAATTTTGATAGCCTTCCACCCGGCCAGACACTTGGTAGAAGGATTTCGGATACTGGCCTCCGCATGATGCAGCCACTCAAGAAAGCACACACGAAACCCCTAACATAACCGAACCAGAAAAAGCGTATGATACCGGAACAGTCCAAGTTGCCGTTTACAGGGTAGTCGACGCCGGCAACGATCCTTGCAAACTCTGGCAGGTCTCCAACGTCCAAGCCTGGTGCAAAGAATAATTCCCCTGGCCAGCCGCACCGATCCACTTTGACGTAATCCACATCCCAAGATGCAAAGGTCGCTGCATCAATCTGGATGTGGCCCATGATCCCTGGTTGGCCTCCACCACATGTCTTCTCTCCAACACTGGTATAGATACCGAACTTGAAACCAAGGCCATGCAGTTGTTCTGCGAGCCACTTGATGCCGTTCGGAAACTTTTCCGGATCAGCCTGCATTCGCCCGTCCTGATCTCTCTCGGGGCTACCCCAACCGTCATCGATGACGATGTACTCGAAGCCACTCTCCAGCAGCCCGGAACTTTTCATAGCTCGAGCAACGTTCAGGACTTTGGTTTCATTAACATCTAAGTTGAATTGGTTCCAAGAATTCCAGCCAAGGGCCGGAGACCTCACCCCGTTGTCATACGTCTTCTTCATGGGAGCCTGCCACGCGGCCTGAGTCTTCGTAGCATCCGCATAGCTAATCACTGGAATTTTTGCTGGCTTTGGAAACATCGGCGAATGCTCCGGAAGGAAGCTGCAGCTCTTGTTTTGAGAGCACCCCCTGTGCGCTTGCAAGGCATCGTTCAAGATAGACTCGTGCTCTGCCCTCAGAGACTCATTGGTCGTTCCGAGGGTAAGGGTGCCCAGGGAGCCAGCCTTATGCACCTCTCGGCGCTGCATCAGGCTTACCTCCGTGGCGGTGCAGTTGTCTTCTGCGGCAAACACACCAAGAAGCAAGAGGGAGATGTGCAGCGTGCACCATGGCATCAACATTGATTCAATAGCTCAGTCAGTAAGGTGCTTGAACCGTCTTCCCCATCTTCGGGGCTGCAGACACGGGTTCATACAGCACCGGAGAAAATGCTGACCCTCCCGACCCTGAAAAACGAGAGCTCGGAACATGGAAGTAGAGAAGGCCTATGGCTTCGTTCCCGTTTCGTTCGTTGGACTCTGCCAATCTCTGCCAATGCCAGACAACTACTTGCAGCACGCCAACTCGCATGAAAGGCTGGATCGTTCGAAATCCGCATTCATCCAAGGAGGATTCTCTGTATGATGGCCGTGAAGCCTATGACATCACCTGTTGCAATGAGCCTGCGAGTAGCACGGCTGCGTGACACCGGCGCTCGCGGATGCCTCTACATCTTTCGCAGCCAACAACTTCTCTGGAAAACGTGAGCAGTATGCCTGAACATTCGCCAGTTGCTTCTTGAACTCCTGCGAAGTGTCTCGAAGCGGCAACACGTCGCAAGCGCACACCCCAGGTTCTTTAGCCGCCATTTTGAGGTATTTCAAAACTATATGTATTGCTTTGATGCGCTCAGGCAGTCAGGAAAAGGGATGCCGTTTCTTGGCTTCTTTCCCCTATCGCTGTGCAGGGGTTCAACACATCTCTGACTACGTGCAAGATGAAGTATAGAACTACGCACCTGGTGTTGGTCGCTGTTTCTGTGTAAATCACTGGTGTTTGCTGCGGGTGGTGGGGGTGCATGGGGGGGAGTTGTTTCTGGCACAATCGAGGCCGACATAGTCAACATCATGAACACAATGAAGAGCGACATCACATCGTCAACACAATCGAAGGGTCGTCGTATCTCGAATACAATCACGCGCTGAACCCTGAAATCCTAAATCCTGAAACTCTCAGGCCCGAAACCCTCAGGTTCCAAAACCTGCAACCCTAGACTCAAAATTGCAAAAGATGTGTCCTAGTGATGTTCTAGCACTTGACAAAAACAAACGAAACCTCTCGTAAACCCTAAGAAAGCCTTGTCACCACATAAAGTCTACATTGCCATATTATCCGCTGATAGAGTCTATACAGCCACGCCAAGCACCGCATAAAGCACACCCAAACGTCTGCGTTCCCCTACGTAGAGCGGCAAAGCTAAAAGAGAGGGTTTAGGTGAGAAGTTTCAGGTGCTCGTTTCGTTTCTGTTGTTTTGAACGGCTTAGGCTGTTAATGGTTATGAATGTCAGGGGGTTTAGGGCATCCGGTCACCAGGGTTTCCATTTTCACGCATGTCCAATAGGCTGCCCTTGGAGAAAGGTTGGTCCTCGCAGTAGTCAGGATTAATGACTACTAGTAGTAACTGTACACCACATGACAATAAACAAAGCAAGAAAAGCAACATCTGCTTTTCGACTCCAAAGAAGTTGGTATGAAATTGGCCTCTCAATTGTTCACACCGAAAAAGAGAAGGATCTACACACCAAATACATCCACGCGCAACCATAATAGTAGTAGCAGTACTAGCCCCCAGTACCAGCACCAGCAATACTACTAGAACCAGCACTAGTACTCGACTGGTACTGTAGGAGTACCGATACTACCAATACCAGTACTAGGACAAGTAGTAGCCCCGGCAGAATCTCAGCAGTAGCACTGCGTAAATAGTACTAAAGTCCGAAGGTTCGTACTAGTGGTAGTACAAGTACAAATCATTCATTCATTCATGTGGGTAGTTCCGCACGTCAATAATGAATGGCCAGCTATTGGGCAAGTTCAGCAGACCGGAAACCATACTGCCATACGGACCAAGTCAGGCCAAAAAGGGCAATTCTTCCCATGCAGCAGCGGCTGCCTCCCACCTACAAAGAACTCCTGTGTGGGGAGTTGGCGTCTGCCAACCTAGGAGGCCACCTCACCAGCCTTGGGTCTAGGACGTGGCCCAGGGACCAAGTGCTGCATCTCTAAGGAAACGAGCGTGACTGACCTCACCCGACGAACGGGATTGCAAGGCCTCAGAATCGCCCAACCCGACAAACGGGATTGCTAGGCAAAGTTGACCAGGTTGGTAAGTAGACACCATGTCCAGCCTCACCCGACCTACGGGACTACTGGGCCTTGCAGACAACAGCCTTACCCGACGAACGGGACTACTCGGTTGATCCAGAAACGTTGCTGCAATTGGAAGCCCATGGAATCCAGAGAGTACAGCCGCAGATCTGGGAGGTGCCGTACAGTCGCAGTCTGGCAATAGAGGCGCTAAGACGCTTGCACTGGTTGCCCATGTTCTGGCTCGCCATCGTCTTAGAAGAAAATATTAACTGAACAAAGAGCTCGTTGTGAGTAAAAGGGGCGAGCAAATAAAAGATATATGGTGCACATGAGAGTGTCAATGCTCCGAGGACCAGTACTATGACCAGGTTGCACTGTAAGGAGATCGCCTCCCCCAAAACAAAGCTCCCACGTACAAGTACTTGTAGCGTAGAAAACGAAGTTTTGCTGTTGTTGCAGTTGTTGTTGGTCGGACTTCGAAGTTTGCTGCTTGACCCAGAGACTTAGCAAGGTGGAACCACTGTAGACGCTGGATTGCAGCATCAGTCGTAGTAGTAGTAGTAGTAGTAGTAGTAGTAGTAGTTGTTGTTGTTGTTGCTGTTGTCGTTGTCGTAGTGTTCGTCGTCGTCGTAGTAGCTGTCTTAGCAGTAGTAGCAGTAGTAGCCGAAGCAGCACCAGTAGTAGTAGTAGTAGTCGTCGTCGTCGTCGTCGTCGCCGTAAGAATGCCACGCTGTAAGAATTACAGCTGCGTGCAGCAGATTGAAACTAAAACCAATCCTCGCGAGAAATGCCACCATCGGCGTTGGTGTCGAAGGTGACCCACAACCTTGCCAGCACGCAAGCAGCATACAAAGACACAATGGTGATCTTAGACAACCTACTTCCAAATTAGTCGGTAGGAGTGGGTACCCCGAGGAGCGGGCTGCTGCAGCTGCCCCTCGCCCAAGGAAGGCCTCATAAGTTCATGCTTTCTCATCCAGCGCTCTTGTATGCTCTTGTCTTCCTCTCGATTCATTCGAATTGCCCCCAAGAGGGCCGTGCTCGAGCTGCGCGAAGAGGGCCCGGAAGTCTGGCCAGCGAACTTCTTGTCCACCGGCAGCCTATCGCCAAGAGGCGATGTTGCCGTCGATCGGACACGACAGAGCGATTGGCATCTGAAACCATCTCAATTTGGGCCGCGGCCAGGGCGTCGAACAGCGCGTCCGGCGTCTGGCCCTGCACGGAAATACGTGCAAAGGTGCGAGAGGCGGAATTTTCCGCTTCATGCAGTGAGTCAAATGCCGGCCTTTCTGCGCAGGGCATCGTTCACGCGCGCGCAGATTTCCTCCGGATCCAAAGCGAAGCTTCGAATGACGTCGGAGGCTTCGCAGCAACTTCCGAACGGAGATGGCTGGCCTGCAGAGATCCTGCTGCTCGAGCCTGACAGTGTGCTTAGCGGGAGCTCCACGGAAGCTGCAACTGGACCACTTCAGCATTAGCAAATCCTGGCCTGCGGGGCGGCACCCGCCGTTGCCGAAGCCTGCCCATGGTCTTAATGTCCACACCGCAAACGGGAGTACAATCTACAAACCCTTCAGAGCCAAACGGGCCGGAAAGCGCCTGCACGTTCGCAAGTTGCTTCTTGAACTCCTGCGACGGGTGCCAAGGTTGCACGCAGCTGCATGCAGATCACCCCACCAAAAACAAATCCTCGCGAGAAATGCCACCATCGGCGTTGGTGTCGAAGGTGACCCACAACCTTGCCAGCACGCAAGCAGCATACAAAGACACCATGGTGATCTTACACAACCTACTTCCAAATTCGTTGGTAGGAGTGGGTACCCCGAGGAGCGGGCTGCTGCAGCTGCCCCTCGCCCAAGGAAGGCCTCATAAGTTCATGCTTTCTCATCCAGCGCTCTTGTGTACTCTTGTCTTCCTCTCGATTCATTTGAATTGCCCCCAAGAGGGCCGTGCTCGAGCTGCGCGAAGAGGGCCCGGAAGTCTGGCCAGCGAACTTCTTGTCCACCGGCAGCCTATCGCCAAGAGGCGATGTTGCCGTCGATCGGACACGACAGAGCGATTGGCATCTGAAACCATCTCAATTTGGGCCGCGGCCAGGGCGTCGAACAGCGCGTCCGGCGTCTGGCCCTGCATGGAAATACGTGCAAAGGTGCGAGAGGCGAAATTTTCCGCTTCATGCAGTGAGTTAAATGCCGGCCTTTCTGCGCAGGGCATCGTTCACGCGCGCGCAGATTTCCTCCGGATCCAAAGCGAAGCTTCGAATGACGTCGGAGGCTTCGCAGCAACTTCCGAACGGAGATGGCTGGCCTGCAGAGATCCTGCTGCTCGAGCCTGACAGTGTACTTAGCGGGAGCTCCACGGAAGCTGCAACTGGACCACTTCAGCATTAGCAAATCCTGGCCTGCGGGGCGGCACCCGCCGTTGCCGAAGCCTGCCCATGGTCTTAATGTCCACACCGCAAACGGGAGTACAATCTGCAAACCCTTCAGAGCCAAACGGGCCGGAAAGCGCCTGCACGTTCGCAAGTTGCTTCTTGAACTCCTGCGACGGGTGCCAAGGTTGCAACACGCAGCAAGCGCCTTCCCTGGCGTCTGTAGCCATCCGGACTCAGGTTTGCCGCTGCATGCAGATCGCCGCACGACTAAAACCAATCCTCGCGAGAAATTCCACCGTCGGCATTGGAATCGAAGGTGACCCACAACCTTGTCGACGCATTTTAAAGAGCACATGGACGCTGCGTTGGGTGGGATTGCTTTTCTTGAGGTGCCAGCTGCTGCAGCTGCCACCCTTCCAGGGAAGGCCTTATCTGCTCAGCAGGGTTATGTCCCCTGTCGTTGTTGATGTAGTTGCAGTGCCCCTCAAAGGGTCGGGCTCGATTTGCGCAAACAGTGCCCGGAAGTCGGGCCAACGTACTTCTTGACCACCACCCGCCTGAAAGTCTCTGTGAAGTCGTGACGGACTGCAAGCCACGGCTATGGCAACTTTTCGACTGGCGTCTGAACTTAGGCCGCAGCCAGGGCGTCGAACAGCGCGTCCGGCGTCTGGCCCTGCACGGAAATACGTGCAAAGGTGCGAGAGGCGGAATTTTCCGCTTCATGCAGTGAGTTAAATGCCGGCCTTTCTGCGCAGGGCATCGTTCACGCGCGCGCAGATTTCCTCCGGATCCAAAGCGAAGCTTCGAATGACGTCGGAAGCTTCGCAGCAACTTCCGAACGGAGATGGCTGGCCTGCAGAGATCCTGCTGCTCGAGCCTGACAGCGTGCTTAGCGGGAGATCCACGGAAGCTGCAACTGGACCACTTCAGCATTAGCAAATCCTGGCCTGCGGGGCGGCACCCGCCGTTGCCGAAGCCTGCCCATGGTCTTAATGTCCACACCGCAAACGGGAGTACAATCTACAAACCCTTCAGAGCCAAACGGGCCGGAAAGCGCCTGCACGTTCGCAAGTTGCTTCTTGAACTCCTGCGACGGGTGCCAAGGTTGCACGCAGCTGCATGCAGATCACCCCACCAAAAACAAGTCCTCGCGAGAAATGCCACCATCGGCGTTGGTGTCGAAGGTGGCCCACAGCCTTGTCGAAGCACGAAGAGCACATGGAAGCTGCTGTTTCACACGTTGGTTGTGCTCGTGCGGGTGTTTTTCTTGAGGCGCGAGCTCCTGTAGCTGCCACTCTTCCAGGGAAGGCCTTATCTGCTCAGCAGGGTTATGTCCCCTGTCGTTGTTGATGTAGTTGCAGTGCCCCTTAAAGGGTCGGGCTCGATTTGCGCAAACAGTGCCCGGAAGTCGGGCCAACGTACTTCTTGACCACCACCCGCCTGAAAGTCTCTGTGATGAAGTCGTGACGGACTGTAAGCCACGGCTATGGCAACTTTTCGACTGGCGTCTGAACTTAGGCCGCAGCCAGGGCGTCGAACAGCGCGTCCGGCGTCTGTCCCTGCACTGAAAGACTGGTCAGGAGCAGAAATCTCTGCAGTAGGGCACTCTGCGAGCTTGGGTGTTGTGAAAGCTGAGCCTTTCGGCGCAACGCGTCGTTGACACGGGAGCAGATTTCCTGCAGAATCACAGGCGCACGACATGCAAGGACAGAGCCTGGAGGGGTTAAGAAAGGCCGCTGCACTGCATGACAGCTGTAGGGACGTGCCTGCATCGAGTGTGCCGGGCGAGCCTGGCGATGTCCAAACACATTGCTCTTCATGAGCACAAGAAAGTATTCTAGACTGATCTCGTCTGCACCACCTAAATGGGCGGGATTTGGCCTGGGCCCTCGGTTCCTAGAGTCCTAGAGTCCTAGGGCGCCAGAAAGCACTGACCTGCTAGACGTAGGCTCACGGGCTCGTCTGAGGTTCCTGCCATGCCGATGCTCAACCTGCGCTCCTCCAAGCAATGTGCTGCCATCCGAAGCTGAGCAGAGGTGGCCAAGTGAAATCTCCTGCTGGGCACACAGGTCCCGAGCTTGGCAAAGATTGGCCCAAGCCTTGGAATCTGCGGTGGTGCTACAGGGCAAGTCTGCATCTTTCAGCCGCAAGTCAAGCAGAGCTGCTCGCAGCACTCTTACTTCACTCGCTCTCAGCTCGATGACTGCACCCTTAGCCCCGAGTCCCAAACTTCGGACATTCCGGCCGCCGCGTTGAGTAAGGACATGGGAGGTCGAGGGCCCGGACTGGGGGGTTCAAGCACCTCCTGGCACCAAACAGGCTGAAAAAATACTGAAACATACTGAAACCTTAACTTGCAGGCGTTTGGAGCTGGCAGTATCGGCAGCTCCTCGTCTCGAGGAACTGGGAAGGCTGTCGTGCTGATGCCTGTCACCTCCCAAGAAGGCAACAGCCAGCAGCTGCCACCATCCATCCCCGCCAACAACCTCCGCGATGCGCTGAGCAAACTCGATGTAGTCCAGGAGACCATCTGCATTCGTGTCAGACAGCTTCCACCTGAGAGCCGCCAGCGCTTTATGGGAACTGGCAATGCGAGTCCGAGGACGGCACAGCCACTCCAGCTGCTCGGAGCGGAGGCCAAGCTCAAGGCTGTTCACCTCTCGGAACTAGACATCAACTTTCTTAGCCGTGAACGGCAAACCTGCAGACCTCACACTCAGATGGAAGCTTGGCATATGCCGTGCTGCGTTAATTTGGCTGGTCACCCACCTACAGCCTAGGGTCACCTGCGCTTCCAACAGAAGACTTGAACAGACTCGAGGATTCCTTTCGCCATGTCTCCGCATCATTCTCCACATTGACATCAACAACACTCCATGAAGCACAGCTGAAGCTTTTTGGGCGCATTCTTCGATCCCATCCGAACTCCATCGAACGGAAGTGCTGTGAGAGTTAAAATCAAACGAAGGCTGTTCTTGCAGGGCCCTAGGCCCTAAACCCTTGAACCCTGAAACCCTAATTCCTGGATAGTTCTGGGGGCCGCACCAGCGTGAAGAATTCGCTCTTCTGTGCCCGTCGGTCTTTGGTCACCAGGTCAAAGGCCTGCTAACCATCGTAATAGTCGACTATAGTAAACCGGAAATAGGAGAATGTAATCTAAAGTGTAAGACAGTATGATATAGTATAGTATGGTATGGTAGTATAGCCTATTATAGCCTAATATATCATAGAGTGAAACAGAATTCTACAGAATAATGCGCTGCGATATAGTATCACGTAGTACACCATAGCAAAATAAAGCAGGCGTCCCTGGCCGGCAGCTGGGTGTTCCCCCTTGCCTCCCGGACAGTCCAACCTTGTCTCCTCAGCGCCTCAGAGGAGCTGTATGTATACAAGTGTATGTGTGTACACGAATAAATGTGTGTGTTAGATATGTAATTAATACCAGCTGTAAGCATGTAAAGTATCGCGCATGGCGGACGCTTTGCTGGGCAGATGGCTCCATCCACAAGGATCCGCAACTCAGTCACTCACCAGGGCTATACGGCGGTAGATGTCTCTAGCCCACCTGGCAAAATGAGCTGAAGCCAGTATCGGGGAGCTCCGGGTTATTTACACCAGCACTTGTGGCTAGAGCCAGCTCAAGAAACCCAAACAGGCAGCGCCACTGTTCCAAAGGCGCAGCCTTCTTGCCCTGCGGGATTGCCGCAGTCACGAATGCATCACACGCCAAACCGGAACTCTTTGTCACCTGATGTGCTGGCATGCAGAAGTCCTGCTCGAATGCCAGAGCCAAGTCTTCCAAGGCAACGAGCTTGCGCCTGTGGAGGGTTCTGAGTGTGAGGGTTGGAGTAGCCTGGGTCGCCGTAAGCTTGAGTCCAAGTTCCTGCACTCGATTTCTCCGCAAGCGCTCACGGAGGTCGGCATGTGTGTGTGCGAGTGACTGGGCATCTGCACATTTAAGATACAAGGAGGCAGTGACCACTGCGATTTCCCCGTCGCTTCCTGGCACTGCCATGAGATCAACCCAACTCACACCTGCCCAGCGCGAGATTCAGCCAGTAGCTGTTCCCATCGCACTCAGGCATCAGCATGTTCTAGCTTGCGGGTTGAGCGCATTTCTCATTTATCGAATTAAGCTGATGTGTGCAAACAGCCTTCAGTTTTGGGAAGGCACGGAGGTGCGAAAGCTCCTGGCATCAGACTGCAAGGCCCTCACGCCTGCGACCTGCGCTCGATCCTTCGGAGAGAGCCCGAGGCCTCGACCTGGGAAGGTGCTCAGGCCTCGGTAAAGGGTCTGACTTCGGTTATGCTATATTATACTGTAGTATACTATACTATACTAATACTATACTAATACTATACTAGACTGTACTATACTGTACTATACTATATACTATACTATACGTTGAATCATACTGTCCTCTGGTATCTCACACTATATTCTACTGTCTTATACTGTCTTATACTATACCCTGACACCGAGGATCCGACTTTTGGAGGTTCAGTCGCCGCCCCCTGCGAGAAGCCGTCAAGAGCAAGCAGCATCTCTTACCACAAGTACCAGAACATCATAGGAGAGTTTAGGGTTTAGGGTTTAAAGTTCACTGTTTAAAAAGAGTGTATCACTGCAAGGCTGTCGCACGGTGATGGGAAGATGCATCACGCACGATTGCATGTTTGTAGAATCTTGGTATCAAAAACATATTCTGACCGAATGACATCTGATCACGAAACTGTACACTATGCAATTGTTCCGACTCTACTGTGCGTTACTATACATTACACCACATACTGCACACTATACTACCCTCTGTACGATACACTATACTGTGCACCCTACTGTACACTATTTTCGTACCCCGTACTATACACTGTACTATACACTGTACTTTGCGCTAACACGATACGTCATACTCTATACTTTGTTCTACCCAGAGTGAGGCCATATACCGTACTTTACTCTATACTATATCCCTGCATACTCTAGACTCTATACTACATACTACATATACTACATGCGATGTACTCAGTACCCTCTACGATATACGACATACTGCGTGGCGTGCTACATGTGTATGAGATGCTATCTCTAGACACAATATGCTGTATACTGGATACGACATAGCCGAAATGCACTACATACAATACGCTTTACACTATATACTCTCCACTCTATACTACCATACTACATACTACACACTGTGTATACAGTATAGACTATGCTATATGCTATACTCTCTACTATGTTCTGTCTACTGCATACTGTAACATTTACCGCGTACTGAGCAATGTTGTACCCTATACTCTGTACCGTATAATGAACACATACTCTTTACTCCCACACGCCCTGTACTCTCTAAACTGCGAAACTCTACAGTCTTTGTCTGGAGCCTAAAGCCCATGGTCTTTTCTCGTCTTCTCTTTTTCTCTACTCCGCTCGACTCCGTTCTGCTCTGCTCTGCTCTACTCTGTTCTACTCTATTCTACGGTACTAGACTGTGATATACTCTGAACTATTTGTCACCTATTGCTATACTATATACTAGACTATTACTACTACTAGTACCAATACCATTTCCATTACCATTACGATTAGATCACGACTACTGTTACCATGACCATTACTATTACCATGGCCACTGCCATTGCCATTACAGTACTCTTACTCTTGCTCTTACTCTTACTCTTAAAGTCTTAGTCGCAGTCTTAGTCTCAGTCTTAGTCTTAGTAGTAGTAGTAGTACTACTACTACTACTACTACTACTACTACTACTTTAGACTGACTATGACTGAGACAATTACTATGACTATGACTATTACTATGACTCTTACCTACTACCTATTACTGTGACTATTAGTATTACTGCACTATACTATACTCTGTGGCATAGTTGGCACCAACACACATAATGGAAGCACGGGAAGCAAGCCCGGTCCGGGCCTCCGCTGCTGCGGTGGAGGTGCCTTCGGCCTCCGCATCCTTCGCATCTTCTGGCACTTCGGGAGGATGCGATCGCTCGGCGACCTCCGTGAAGACCGCAAGCACCTTCAGGGTTTCAGTGTCAAGCGACGCAGGTGGTTCAGAAACTTGTTTCCAGACCATGAAGGCAGTCATGGAAGAAACCGGTGTCCAAGTTCTCAACCCGGATATGCTCTCAGCACGCCTCCGAGAATGCGTCCACCTCGCCCGTGGCAGCCTCAATCACTTTGGCTTTGTCCTCGAATCGGAGAGTCTTCAACCAATCTCAAGACGGAATTCACCACAAGGTGTCTATGACGAATCTCATGATATGAGCCCGCCTGCAAAGCTTGCTCTGTGGCTTCCAACTGTGTCTTGGCTTTGACAAGGCCCACCTTCAGGAGGTGAGTGCGATGTTCTGCCAACTCTCTAAGTACTCGTTGACACAAACAAAAACCAAAAACCATGCCATTTCTGCCAGCTGACAACCCAACCTTTTAGTGCTCTCCCGGCCTCCTTTTCGCAAGCGACCTCGTCAGCCACGTCGAGCTCCTTCTGAGCTTCGTCAAAGGCCGCCTTTGCCTCACAGGAGGGCTCTGCAAGGCACGAAAGGCTCGAGGGCGCCCGCGAGGTCTGCAGTCCCCTCTTTTTGGGTCTCGCAGCTCCGGTCTGGTGGTTGGCACTGCGCCTTTGCCATTCATGGCCACCGGGCATGAGCCGATCACTGGCAACTCCGCTCCGGCTGGCACACTCAACAGGCAATGTTAACTGGCCGCTGGCACCACACACAGAAGCTGCAATACACTACGAGTACTAGACCTGAAACAGCATCTAAGCCACCCTTGCTGGAGCTCATCACAGCTCAAGCCGGGGTTCTCACATTATCATGTGCACACGAGCCGAAGGACTCGTGATGCACAAGGAGCCCTCATTGGGCGGAACCGAAACTTCACGAAGCAGCAAGGGACCTGTCAGCTGGACAACAGGTGCTCAGCTCGCAGGCATCACGGTCGGGTACCCCCTGGCTGGGCCATGTCTCCGTTGCTCAGGCTTGTCCCGGTGTCTTTAGATGTAACTGTGTAAACCGGGGTACCCGAACCAGTCATTGATGCCGGTGAAAGCTTCATTGGAGCTGAATTGCTGACAGCCCCGCTGTATCGCAGTAAGGCTCGCCCAAAGGATGTACGATTCGAACTGCTCGCACCTCACACGTCTTGGCTTTGTACATTCGGCTGCAGCCGCTTTTCAATGCTGAAAAATCGCGATTGCCAGGGGGTTGCGAATAATTGACTGTATGTTTCGATACAGTCACGAGCACAAGTGCGGGACAACGTGGGTTGGAAAGCGGCTGCAGCCCAGAAGCATGTATTGGCTAGAGCAGCTCCTTCTTTATGAAGCCCTTCTCCGCCATCAGCTCCTATGCGACACTCTCACGGCATGCGCTCCGGCACCCGGTTGGATCCCTGAACAGTCCTGCAACTCCACCAAGGAGTAGTCGCTCATGTCAATCCTCAATTCAAAGCCCTGCTCATTAAAATCTAGGCACAGGGCATCTGAATTTGCTGCAGAAACACGACTCTTTCTCGTTGCCGTTCTCGTCAAAGGTGTAGAACACGGGCGGGTGGTGAGGCACAAAATTGAGCCTGGAAAGTGGGAGCACGGGAAGAACAGTGTCGACCCATCAGCGTGTGAGTTCAACTGCATTGCAGATCCAAGGTGCCGAAGCCCAACGTAAGAGTCAGCGTTACCATGCCCAAGGACGAACTTACGAACCTCTGGCGTCTCCCGTCAGGGTCTCTTTTGCGTGCAGGGCAATGCGAAGAAGCAAAGCAAAGGGTGCCTCAGGCAGCTGGTTCAAGCGTCAGCCGCTGCAGGTGCGAATCTCCCCCTTGTACTTCTTGGGCTCCTTGCCTCGAAACGGACCGGCTGGGAGTGATAAATCACCAAATTGTGATGTTCACCATGTTCATCATATAGATTTCGATATAGATATAGATATAGCTATAGACATATATATATATATATATATATACATTATGATGGGCCAAGATGTTGGAAGTCAGGGAGCGCTTGAAGCCCTTCGCAGCCATGAGATCGTGGATCTGCTGCAAGTTGTAGCGGCCAAGATCCAGCCTCTCCTGCTCCTCTCCGTGCCTGCGTAGAACCAGCTTAACCGTGAAAGCATGCGACAGAACGGAGTTGGGACTGGCACTCATTGAAGAAGACAAGGTCCGGATTGTGATGCGGGATGAAGTTCACCTTCCCAGTCAGACCGATACCAGGTCTCGGCCATCCGAACCAGAGCCCCGCCTTCAGCCCAACGTAGGTATCAGCGTGGCCGGGCTCCTTGATGAAGCGCCGTGCCTCCGCGGGTGGGATGGCGGGCCTTTTGTTCGACCTCTTCGAAACGCTGTGGCACGTGCCTCAGGGAGTTGATTCAAGCGTCAGCCGGAGCAGCTCCTTGGTGCCGCATGGTGCCACGCGGGCCACGCGGGCCCGTGAGAATCGCTTTTTGCTCGCAGGATGCTGCCGAGCGGCTGGATCTCAGCGCTCCAAGCTCCTCCGATGGCTCCGGTTTTGCCTTCGTCCTCTGCGGCCTCAAAAAAGCAACTGCAGAACGGTGAAGGCAGCTCTTCGACTCTGGGCGTCCCATGAGTCCATGGCCTCCAGGCGCATGTTGAGGAACTGCACCAAGTGATCGGACTTCCAATCTGCCGGCGCTTGAAACACGGCCACTTTAACACGAACAGGAGCACCCTAAACTCTAAACTCCAAACCGGGCCTTTCACGTCTGCACGCAGAACTCGTCCGGACCCGTCATTGGTCTCTAGCTCGATGGCTGGCCAAGAGCCAGCTTGGTAATCCACCTGAAGGTTTAGGGGTTAGGGTTTTAGGGTTAGGGCTTTAGTTTTAGGGTTAGGGTTCGGGTTTTGGGTTCAGGGTTGTAGGGTTAGGGTTGTAGGGTTAGGGTTGTAGGGTTAGGGTTTTAGGGTTTGAGCTTCGCAGAATCGCAGGAACTCCATCCCTGGCTTGCTAAACAGAGGGTCGAACTGAGCATGCCCAATCATGTCCAAGCCGAATACCCAAGAATATCCAAGAACCCTTCCAGGAGAACAAGTAAGTACAAGTGTCCACCCGACGAGTCCAAACACACACCAGACGGTGGCAAAAGATGCGGACGCACGCCAGGCTCTCTCGGAAGCATGAGCCTGACATCAAACGTGCCCGGGTCTGGCAGGGGAGCGATTCTCGGAAAATGCGCGCTGTGGCCAGGTGGCCCGAGCACGACTTCGGGATGCGTACGCAGGCACCGCGCCAAGAAAACGATACGCAAGGCCAACAAGCACACGGCCCTGTGGCGGGAGCACGATCCATCATGTTCGCATGAGAAGCAGTCAATTATATTTCTACGATGAATCCGCCGAGGCCACAGGCCCAGGCGTCTTGGGGGTTAGCTCAGGTACCCTCCACCTAATCCTCCTCCCTGCAGTCCAAATGTTTGGACACCCGTTTTTTGCGTTCGTTTGCCACCCCCTTGCCCGGCTTCCCCTCATTTTACCTGATTTGTCAGCCTCCCCCCCCCTCCCAGGCCTCCCCCCCCCCCCTCCCCCCCCGCCCTCCCCCCCTCCCCTACCCATTCTCCTCGCACTTCGTATCAACAACCGTGTAAAGGATGGGGTTTGACAGGCCGCCCTAGCATAAAAAAACATCGACTGCCCCCTCGCCCTGCCGCTACACAGCCGAGGCGGGCGGCGTAGCGTTAAAATTAGGCTTGTCTGGAGGACAGGAGTGCAGCGGCGATGTGTAAAGCCTTCGATTTCACGCGAAAAGATCCTGAACAGAAGCCCAGGACGGCCAGTTGCGGGAGGGGCGTGACCGTGGCACCTAACCAAAGTCTCCGAACATGAGAATCCTATAGGGAGGAATACATCCGAAGCCAACGCATCAAGCCACATCAAACTGCATGGTCCTCCAAAACCTGCAACAGCACATGCTGTACAGTCCTTTGCCTCCGCGCTTGGACCTATACATGCCACGCAAAGTGATGGCACTTTCTGCGCCTCTAGGTTTCGGATACGTGGCGCTTTTCTCTTGATGAAATCATGGAGGTCCTGCCAGAAGATCAGCCATGCTCTGCAGCCCTCCTGGTGCAAAAGCCTCAGCAGGGTCCTGGTCTCGTTCCTGCTGCGCAGCGTCGGCAATCAGCCTTGCCTTGCAAAGGCTGAGGCCACGCCGACATCGCATCCGCAAGAACTAGACGCTGCCTTTGGGAACAGCTCGAGAACCGGTTCCTGGAAACGGAAACGGAGTCATTGAGTTTCTTCTTCCGGGACAAAAAGAAAGAGGGAGAGAGATAGAGAGAGAGAGAGAGAGAGCGAGAGCGAGAGAGAGACAGAGAGATAGAGAGATAGAGAGATAGAGAGATGGAGAGATAAAGAGAGAGAGAGAGAGACAGAGAGATAGAGAGATAGAGAGAGATAGAGAGATAGAGAGAGGTAGAGAGATAGAGAGAGATAGAGATGAAGAGACAGAGAGAGAGAGAGAGAGAGAGAGAGAGAGAGAGAGCGAGAGCGCTCTCGCCTCTTCACAGCACTCGAGGCAGTTCCCGGCCAGGGTCGCAGAAGCCACGCCGCTTTCCTTGAGCCTACTCACAACAAAGGCACATGCAAGAGACAGCTGAGACTTGCCCTCCTAGCCTCTGCTCCAAAACGCGGCATGTCTGGCAGCCCAGTTTTTCTGGGTCAAAGCCTTGCGCGCGACAGCGCGAAGTGTGATTCGCATCTGCCTGTCGACACGGAACATCAGGACATACAAAGAGGGGCAGTGCACATCAGCTGTGGCCTTGCTGGGCCCGGTACAGGCGCCGCTGCCGTCAGCATTTACGGGGCAGCTGGAATCCTATGCATTTTTTCACGACACGAAAGTCCCAGAACACAATGAGCTGGAGGACCCCGGCCTGAGCGAGAGCCGACCAGACCAGCAGAAGCCCCCTTAGGATGGCCTGAGCTGACTCGAAATGCTGGCGCTGCGACTGCACATCTACCGTCCAGCACGCACCTGCATGGTGCCACCCAGGGGGCGTGTCTATCTGTGTTCAGTTCCCGCTTGAGCCGCAGCCATGCATTGAAGGTTGCTGGGACCCAAACCGAGGCTGAGCGAGATGGTCAGAAGACAGGCAGCACGTGACTGTCGTTCAAGTCTGCTGCGCCTTTGCGGTCCCTTCAGCCTTCGCTGTCTTCTCAGGCCTGCACGGTAGCAGCAGAAATTGCTTGATATCAAGCCGAGCCTATCATCTGCATGTTCGAGAGCAGTTTGCTGCAACGAGCGGAGAATGCACACTGAGTCACCAGCAGCTTAGCTTCCACCTCTACAAAAGCACGAGGCTTTGGCTGGCTTTCCATACGCATTTGCCGAGGCAAACATCGGGTCATCTTCATACCGGCTCCAATGGTGACATCCTGTAACCGCCATGCGAAACGGCTGCCGGCCACCTGGCCTCGGCCGAGATCTCGTCCAAGCCTTTCTGGATTTCCGCCAGCTTTTCGGCCAGAGTCGCCTGCCCACGGCCGCCACACATGGCCGGGAAGTATTCGGGCAGGAGACACCACGGCCTTCAAGCAGTCCAGAACATGGCTGTCGAATCCTTCGCGCTCCTCACATGCAGTCGCCATTCGTCAATCTGTCACTCCAGTTAGTTCAACGAGAGACTGTCCTCGGGCTTCTTGAGCAGCACCGCAGGAGCAGCCGCCAGCAGAGCAGATTCGCCACCGAGGTTCGTAATCTGCTTCAGGAGCCTGGCGAACGACTACTGCAGGGGTAGGGGCCAGTGACACAATGCCAGCGAGTAATGACTAGATGAAGCAGGTCAGATTTTCTGTGGAGATGGCGTGGCACCCGAACGATAACGACGACGATTGAAGGCAGAAGGCAGCAAACATGCCGGTCAGACTTGTCGCAAGCCTTCTTTGACTCTTTGGCACTTCCGTTTGCGTTGATGCCATCATCTATCAGCACCTGTCATCTGCCAAGGCGTCTTTGCTCACCTTTGTGCCAGCCCACCCCCTCAACCTGAACTTGACACCAAAAAGCTCTCAAATCCTGCCTGGAGGAGATTGTCCCTGACGTCCCTCAGCTGTGTCATGCAAGGCCCTTCTAGACGGACCCTGCAGGGTGCGGTCACACTGTGACATCGGAAGTCCCTTTGCTTTGCTCAAGCTCTGAATCATGGCCATCACCGCATAACCAGCATGTCGGGCTCACACCGATACGAAAACAGACTCGATTCTGAGACAACTGCCTGCCTAGAGCGCAGGCACTCGGAGCTGGGTGGCCAACGTGAACTTCGACTGCTCCTTCGTCAGCTGGCCTTGCCGCCTTTCGCGCACTGGGAAGTGCCCACTCCTCTGCACAATAAGCATCGCTGTCGGCGGACCTGTTGGAGCCAGCCTCATCCTTTGCGATTACGGCATCGGCCTGAACCAAGACTTTCCGATTTTAGACAGCGTGACCTTTGTTTCAAGCCTCTGACTTGCGTCACATGCTCTCAAGATCGAGGCTGACATGGCAAGCTAAAACATGACCAAGCCAAGCGCCTGCTCGCATTCCCCGAGGGCTTTCTTGGCTGTTGCCATTTCTTCAGCCTTCTTTGTCACCTTCTCTTTGGCCTCCCCAAACAGGACAGGCACAGCCCAAGGCTCGAAGTGAAAGTCGGCCCTGGGGCCCTATAAGTACTATAAAGCTAGCAGCTAGCTTAAAGGAATGACACTCATCTTGCATTAGTGATCCTTAGTGATACCGTGTTGAACCAGTAACATTCGACACCGTATCCCGTCTCCTTCCCCCACTCATGCATTGGTGTGTGGCCCTCAAAACCCTGACAACGCAATGACAGGCGTACCTCAGCAAGCTCGTCCGTGGCGGCCTGGAGCTGTGCCTGTCTCAGGGGATTAACGCCAGTGCTAGTACAGTGCACGTGCTGGTGACTTCTGTTCTGTCCGATTGGCCGGGAGAGTTTTCAAGGAGCTTTACCTGCTCTGGCGTACACATCTCCAGTGCTGTGTGTTCTTCTCCTTCCGATCCTGAAGCCATGATGACGTCCCTGCCAGATGGTACCTCTTGCCCGTTTCTTCAACCACCACTGTCACCTTCACAACCCAAATGCGACCCAATCCCACAGGACGAGCATAGCCGTGTGAAAGTATCCGAGGCATCACTGTTGGACCACGTGGATATCCACAGCTGCTTGTCATGCTCGACGCAGTTGCTACAGTAAGCGCTCGAAAGCCGCCGCCGGTCATCATCAAAAAAGCGCTCCAGCTCGGTTGGCTGTCTAGCTGCAGCAAGTGCGTGAATGTGAGTCGGTGTTGCAGCATGTTCCGACCCCCAGTGGCACAAAGTGTCTGCAGTGGTTTGGTTGCGTTTCTTCTCAACCGCAGACTTGTCCTAAGGCCAGCTCTGCTCTGATACGTGCCCGGAAGTGGATGTGAAGCACTGGGGAAACGTCTTCAAAGCACACCCGGAATTTCATCGGCTACACCACTTCAGAGGTGACCGCACGGCCGCCGGCAAAATTTCACGCGCGACTGCGGCCTGTGGCATTGCCAGCACTGAACTGAACGGCACAAAGCGTGGCAGACATAGAAAGACGAAGAAATCACAACAAGCTTCATCAGCCATGCAAAAGAGGATGGTAACAACCTTCCTTTTCTGCAATCCCTCCCTCTCGCAGACTGCAAGCCCGGTGTCCGCGAACGGGGCCTTCTGGACTTCGAGCTCCGACTCCATGGTGCTCACGGACTTCTTGGCATCATCGACCTTCCCCTGAAGCCTGCAGGATGCTTTTGGCTCAAGAGAGCAAAGGGAGCTCACAGGCTCACAGCCCCGCCGTGCTGCGATGTCTTCCAAGGTCTCTTTGATGAAGTCGCCAATCCTTCACCAAGAGACCGGTCGTGAGTTCCGCTGCGTCTTGTTTTCTGCTCTGCAGAGGCACCTTGTCTGCATGGGATGCCTGTCTTCCACCATTTGTGAGAGTGCAGAGACTGCCTCAATTGCCAACGCTAGGGCGGGATCCGGGACATCTGACTTGATGTAGTTTGGCCCCGCACACCCTCTGCTAGCATCTTTCGCGAGGTCTCTGTTGCCTGCACATGACTGGAGTAAGTGAGTTTCCATGAGTTTCCCATCGCAGTGAGGAGGTCGTCGGTGGCCTCACTTTCCAGATTGGCGTCGCGTAGCGCCTGTCGACATAACATGGCATTCTGGCACACTGGTTTAGCTGGTCCATGTAGCCCGCGGCACTATCAACATAGCCAGACGTGACTACCCGTTACAGCACAATGGTTTCAAAAGTCGAAACGGGATAAACGTCGTAGAAAGCCTATAGCCCGCACGCCGTAGTCTTGGACCAAGTCCCGGACCGCTATGACGGTGTTTATCTTGCTCCTCACGGTCGAACCACCTAGGAAGCGGAAGGCACGGCAGCCCGAAGTGATCAAGGATTTCGAGAGCACATTGGTCAACAACTGAGCACAGCACGCTGCTTCTTCCATGCTGGACCTCTAGATTCACGGAACCACAGGGCCTTGCTTGCCATGTCCGCAAAGTCCCTTGCCCAGCCTGCTGGAGCCGCACCGCGCTTTCCCATGGTGTTTGAAGACCTCTCTCTTCATCGAAAACTGGTTGCCAGCGCGACACGGACTACGATGAGCGCATGCAGCTGGAAAAGTATCCTCTTCTAGTTGCCTTAGGGTTCAAGACACAGGCACTGTCATTCCCGGGCAGCCCCAGACCGCTGCATTCAGAAGACTGGTTGTCGTCTTGCTTCTTCACTAGCTGATCAAAACACGACTCGGCTGCGACTTACATCATGTTTGCTCGCGCAGGCAGAACCCTCGCATGTCATCCCACGAATCGACACGACCTTCCCCGAAGCAGACAGGTCATGCTACTAAGTGGGCACGAAGGGCCGATCAACCTGTACTTGGAAGAGCGCAGAACATTGCAAGTGCATGTATGCTGGAGTTCTCGAGAAAGCCCGATGCTGTCGGCTCAGCTTAAGCCACCACCAAGAAACATGTTAGACAACAGTCTATCAAGGTCAAGCAAGATGTGTGCAATGCCGAACAGTCGGAGCATGTCATGTCCGGAACAATCACATGCAAGCGGCCTCCCTGCCTCTGGCTTACACCGACACTGGACGCCAGCTTTGCTGGAGAGCCAGATCCACGGGCATGTCATGCAGTCAACTTCCCCAAAAGTGCTGTGCTTCAGGCGGAGCAAACATGCGCACACGTGACGAGCGCGAGAGCGCCGGAGTCTCAGGAGCAAAGGCCCAAAAGAGCCTTCGCCTGTCTGTCCAGTTGAAGATGTAGTCCGTCTCCAGAGCCGACCTTTGCCCGCAGGCGCTTGCTTGCACCCTGCACCCTGGACTCGAGCTTCGAAGGCCCCGGACAAGCCCAAAGGCATGCTCGAGAGCGCGGCCTCAGGGTCCACAAGACCCGTCTCCAGCAAGATGCTGCAGGAAAAGGACTTAGCACAGGGCCGTGAACTCCGCTTTTGACCAGAAGCCGTCCTGGTCCACATCGTGCTTGTGGAACCTGAAGGATCAAAGGCTCGTTCGTGCCCACTTGGGCATAGCAAAATATACTACTACATTCCGGTGGTGCGGACTCCAATGTCACAGGCCCTTGAGATGTCGCTTCTCAAATCCTACTGTGGCAAGAGGGTGGCAAAGCTGGGTACGGTTCTGGGACTTGAAGTTTCATGCCTGGCCAATCGCACCTTGGGTTGCCTGCTATTCGGTGCGCTTTGGCAAAGTTGCAGCACGGCTGTGCGCCGGGCCAGTCCACTGGAGCGAGCTTAAGCACGTGCAGGCGGCGGATGACACGCTGCCAAAGGACCTCGGCGCTGAGCGAGCCCTCGGTGGCTCGACAGTGCCTCGTGCTCGGTGACCCAGGCCTGGAATTGCTCCTCCGTGATGCTTCCACGGTCAGCCTCGAAAGGAGACCTGCTGGTTCAGGCTCGTTTGCAAGCATGTCGTGCTGTGTCCCATGGACAATTGAGATGCGCACAAGCCGATGACACCCGGCGCGAGGACGGAGCTTGGATCATCCTTCCAATTCCGGAAACCATTGATCAAAGTTGAAGCTCAAACGAAAGGAAGTTGTGCCTGCCATGAAACCGACAGCTCGATGTATCCAACAGGCGGAAGCCTGAATGCTGCAGAAGTGCTGCAAACGCCATGTGGTTCCTCGCATGGCACTGTTGATCATGTTGATCTGTGGTGTGTCGTGTTTGCCTTCTCGCTACGACTCTACGACATGATTGCCAGAGTAAAAGCTTCTGCTGCACAGGCTTCTGGGCGGACTGCTCTGCACCGACACCGGATCGGAACAGCGGGAAGTTTCCCTGGACCTGAACCGCTACGCAGCTGCGATCAGCTGTGAAGACGTCAAGAGAGCACCCCCGGCAGGCCAGCAGCAGGCTGAGACCGACGCGCGATTGTACTGAGACCTCAGCGCAGAACTGGCGGCCCGCTCTTGCAACTCTCAGACTCTCGGATATTGTCTCCAGCTGGTCAAAGCATCGAGGCAGCTGCGTAAGCAGCTGGTTCAGCGGAACGCGGGCCTCGCCGACGAGGCCGAGCTGTTCCTGCCAGCTGCTCCGAATGGTCAGGCTCCAACAACGCGCAACGCGCCACGAAAGCGTCCTCAGAGTCGCCCGCAGCTGGCATCGACGCGTCGAAGACCAGGAAGTGAAGTCCGCCGCCGTTCTGCACCCACCTGCACTGCACACGGGGGCTCTTCGTCCGGGTCCTGCACGATCACCGGAGATCTCGGCCTGCAGAAGTCGCTGTCCACACGAACGACCATCCGCCTGGCATCCTGAAATCAAGAGAAGGGCCACGTGGCGCCCCCACAGAATGCAAGAAGAGCCGGTCCTCGAAGGTGACGTTGGGCCCGCTCCCGCTCTGGGTGAAGTGGGCCTTGTGTCCCGGAACCTGGCGAAGAGGCTTGGAAACCACTGCAGTGCACATCACACCCTTTCTGCGGCCTCGTACGTCACGTAGGGCTGCATGCTCTCTGCCGACATACCGGGTTGCGTGGGGACCTGCACTCGTGAAGAGCTCTGCATGTGATCTCCGGAGACACACCGGACACCGGGGTCTCTGCCAGGGAAGTTACGTGGTAAATGTGGACCTTGCAAGGGCAGTGGGAGCATGCGTTGACCGGCGAGGGCAGCAAGCACAACTCTAAGGAAGATGCGATGAGCCCCTTCGCAGCATCCATCAACCCAGGAGCAGCAGCGGTGCCTGGCCCTGGCACAAAGGAGATGTGCATCACCAATGCCAATGCCCGTCTGGACTGTCACTCTCTGCAGCCCAAGCGTGGCATAGCGCGGAACCGCCGCGCTCCTTTTGATATCGTCTTCAAGCTGCTTTGGCTTTCGGAAACGTGGCGCTTCTTCCACCAGGGTAGAGCCCTGCAATCAAGGAGCCCATGAGATGCGGAAGCCTAAGAATCCCGGAACACCCTCTCCGGTGTGCGGCGGCAGCTTCGCGCATGGAATTTGAGGCCAGGGGCCCCCCACAGGGACGTCAGAATACATGCAGGAGCTGCAGTTTGTCCCATCTGTTTGCTTGATCGTCACCGTGTTCCAATAATGGTGCACAGATATCGGTATGAGTGTGCGGCAAGTCGCTGGCCCCGTGAAGGTGATGTTTTCGGCCAGATGCGCTCCGGCAATCGTAGTACATTGGAAACCCGGCTCTCTCAGCACCGACGCAGTGATGTAAGCAATGCCGTAGCTTCCAAGGGACCAGTGCTTAGCAGTTATAAACGGCCCGTTGATGCTTTCCGGGTTGGAGAAACACCACTGCTCCCCGTCCAGGCGGGAATGCCCAGTGAAGGTGAGCAAAGCCCCCGTAGCCAGGAGAGCCAGGATGTAAGACAATGCGGAGAGCCCCGAAATCACGCCCATCGCTGCGTTCCGAATTCCTTAGATCTCCTTCAAGCTTAAGTCGCTGTGATCTGTGAATCTCTGGTTTCACTCCTCGAGCCGAATCCACGAATCTGCTTCCAGCGAGGGTGTGGATTCGTGGATGCTATTGCTTGCAACCACTCTGTGCGCCTGCGTTCTCTGCCACAGCGGCAACGGCTGCAACTGGAGACCTGTTTATATTGAGTGACACCACAACAGTCCAAGCAGATCATGGTCGAGACAACGATAGCTACTAGTAAGAATGACACATGCCACGAGTGATCGTGTACGTCTCCAAGGGCTTGATGATGCTCTTTCGCCATCGTGCCTCAAGGAGTTCTGCATTGAGGTCTTGGAGGTCATGTGCGGACTCAGCGCGCCTTGTACCGGACGGTTGCGATTTGCACATGGGTGTCGGCCTGTCTGTGTCGCTGCAGGAAGGGGAGAAGACGAGCGGGAGAACATCGGCAACAGACCTCGTACGCGAAGGACAGAGTGCCCGCAATGACCGGATTGGGATCCTCACGGGTGTCCCTACCTTCACCCCAAAAGCACTACTGCTACTACTACTACTACTACTACTACTACTACTACTACTACTACCACCCCAAACCACTAACTCGAAATCCAGCACCCAATCACCTCCGCTCCTGTGGGGTGCAGTCCAACAAGGCAGCCAGAGGCAGAGCGGCTCGGCCCAAGACCTCAACATCAGACAAGATGAACCATCATACAATGCACAGCATATAGCTTTATAGCTTATAGTGTGTATATGTGTATATATACATATCTATTTATGTATTTAGTGCACAATCAACAAAGGATAGATGTATCTGAGCACTTTCCCGGGGTGCTCCCGCAGGATGCCCAACTGGGATTTCCTGCTTCCTTTCTGGGGCCCGGGGCATAGGAAGCAGAGCCCACCGTCGAGAAGGCCTGGTTCCGCCGCACCACATGATGCAGACTCGAAGGCGGCTGGAAGACTCACGGGAGCTTCGCGAGCTTCGACTCCGAAAGTCTCTAGAGCTTCCGAGGTTTTTAGGAAGACAGGGCCGCCGTCGCGAAGCTGGCATGTCTCGGGGCTCGGCTTGGAGCTCCAACCGCACAGCTGCCCGGGCAAAGTGCTCGACCTCTGCATCGCCGACCTCCAACAGGGTTCGCCCACATGAACTCGGTCTCCGCTAGCGGCAGAGGGCTGCCTCGAAAGGCCCGAAGGACAACAACGAGTCGTAGCGTGGCTTTAGGCCGACCTTACTGCATGGGATGTGGGATGAAACAGCCAACTCCGCTGGGACTATCTGCATCCTAAATACAAGCAACCTTGGCCACTGTGCTCCCGGCAGCCGTCTCGGAAGTTCCGACATCGCAGTGCATGAACTCGGCAATGACCTCCGAGAAGAAACGAATGTCATAAGACTAAGACCCAGAAGCCGATCTGCGTCGGCATTGAAGAAAGGCACCCACCAGCGTGCACAGGCTGTTCTCTGGAGGGATCTGCCAAGTTCCCTCGCCTCGGAAACAAGTTGAGAATCACAGCGAGAAGACACAACTCCGACGAAAAGTGTACAAACGCTTGGCTCAAAACCTTGTCGAGGAAGTTCCTGCAGCGCCCTGTCCTTCTCCAGGCATGTCCACACTAGGCCAGCGTGCAAGCTTGAGTCCAACCGTCCTCAATCTGCCCGAGCGTGATGTACAAGTCCAATACATTCTTGTCATCCGCGATTTCCGAGAGGCTGAGCAGCGGGGCAACTTCGGATGGCCACAATATTACGACATATTCTGTGGATATGTACACATAGCATCATCATCCGCTGCTCACATTATGCTTAGTCCTACGAGTAGCACTCTTCTCATGTTCCTGATGGAAGCCAAGCCATGCAGGGCTGGAGGTCTGGGATGCCGACTCCGAGAAGCCACCATCGCTGATGATTTCGGAGCGCGCACCCACCATGCGGGGCTGGCACAGTGGGAAGTTGAGCTCGAAGCATTTAGGGTTTAGGGTTTGGGTTGAAGGGGCTTTGGGGGCGGGGGTTCCAAGTTCACCTAGTTTGTGCAAATCCAGAACTGCCTGAATCCCAAAGCAGTCCCGCCTGAGCAAACCTCTGCTCCTTGCGCTTCACAAGGCGCAACTGCAGCTCCTGTGGACAGCTGTGTGATGCTTCGGGTCCAATGCCAAGGCTAACGTCAGAAGCCTGCCCAGCATTGCGAGACCTCAAACTGGAAGGCTGCGGGCGCCATGAGGGCAGTCCCAAGTTCATCCCCAAATGACACGTCCCCCGAAAAGTCCTGGATGCGACCTTCTCGTTCTTTAGCGATCTTCCACAAGCGTTCCGAATCAGACATCCTGACCTGCAGCCAGCAACGCTTTGGAGCAACCTCTTCTTGATGAGACCACTCCTACAAACCAGACACCCTAAAAGCACCCCGCAAGGTGTATCCCAAAGTCGATCTCTGCGCTCTTTCACGAGACAGGTCGGTCTGATGCAACTAGCAAAGCACCGCGTGGCATGCAGCATGCAGCCTGCATCTGCAGGTGGATTTCCTCCAGGTCCATCTGGTGAAGCTTCTGCCGATCCTTGCAACATTACCTTACAGATCTCGACATATCAAGACACCCACCCTAACCCACCCTACATAGTTATATAGGGGCCTAAATAAATTACGAATACTATTTTTGGTCTTCCTTACTACGAATACAGTATACGCCCCCCAAACTGACCCACCCAGCCAGTGAGAGGGGCCGGTCCTTGGCGATGCCCCGCTCGCGCTGGCAGATGTCCTGCAAGGCCTGGAGCTCGGACCCGAGCTCGTCCTGCCGAGGCTAAGAAGGGGAGGAAGAGTCCAAGAGCCGGGCTGCAGGGCTTCTTTGAGACTTGAGGACGAGTTTAAGACTTAAGCACTTCAAGACTTAAGAGTTTCTTTGAGACTTGAGGACGAGTTTAAGACTTAAGCACTTCAAGACTTAAGAGTTTCTTTGAGACTTGAGGACGAGTTTAAGACTTAAGCACTTCAAGACTTCAGAGTTTCTTTGAGACTTGAGGACGAGTTTAAGACTTAAGCACTTCAAGACTTAAGAGTTTCTTTGAGACTTGAGGACGAGTTTAAGACTTAAGCACTTCAAGACTTAAGAGTTTCTTTGAGACTTGAGGACGAGTTTAAGACTTAAGCACTTCAAGACTTAAGAGTTTCTTTGAGACTTGAGGACGAGTTTAAGACTTAAGCACTTCAAGACTTAAGAGTTTCTTTGAGACTTGAGGACGAGTTTAAGACTTAAGCACTTCAAGACTTAAGAGTTTCTTTGAGACTTGAGGACGAGTTTAAGACTTAAGCACTTCAAGACTGCTTTCAGAGTTGTCAAGGCTTTCTTGGGGCCGAGCCTTCTCCGCTCTGAGGGCATCGATCCGCCGGGCCAGCTCTTCCACGCTGGGCCCCTGGCCCGGAGGCGGTGGAGCCCTGGGTCCTCGAGCAGAAGATGGCGAAGAAGCCAGGGCCATGTAAAGCTTTAGCGCCCTGCGCCCGGTCCTGCCGCTCGCTGCGCCTTGAAAGAGCTCTAAGTCTAGTGTAGCTCTCTGCTTTGCTCTGTCAGTTCTCTCCGAGCCCCTGGCATCAGCTCTTTGGGCGACCTCCTCCGCGGCCTTCTCCTCGCGCTCACGCAGGAACCTCGCTTCAGGCGAAGGAAAGGCCACACAAATTGACACAGACGTCGAGGAGGCCCCGGCTGCAAGGAGAAAACCATCACCTGCCCATCGTTCCCTGCCCCCACATGCTTAATAAATCCTCCGCAGAGCGGCAGACATGCCGCGGCCTTCCGGTCTTCCTCTTCCAGGGTGTCAAGGACGTCGGTCAGCTGCGACTGTGCCCTACGAACTGCCTGCAGATGGGGCAGAAGCAACCATTGTCTCAGCACGGAACGTAAAACTCCCTGCTCTTTTGCGCCAGCACCTTCTGGTCTGCATGCACAGGAAGGTCCTAGCTGTCCTAGCTACCATGCCATGTTCTGCAGGATGGCCGAGAAGAGCTCCGGGGCGGTATATCGCAGAGACGCCCTCCACGAGCCCCGAGGCTCTCGAAGCCGTTTACTTGCTCTCCGAGGTGCTCACACCTTCGTCTCGTGTCTAGAGTCTATCACAATTTGCAGCTTGCAACTACAGCACCTTGGAAAGCCTTCCTGCATCCCCGAATAGAATTCTTAGCAAGGAAACAGTCCGGCATGAAAACTCGGCTGTTCAGCAGTCATACTTGATGACCTCAGATCGACATCACTTCGAAGATGGTCGAAGACAGGCTGGCAGGGCAGACATTCTGAGCTGACTGCGCCCCACTTCGCGAGGTGTTCCTCGAGTTCATCTGTTGTGACCTTCCCCATGAAGCGGAGCAGGCCACACGGGGAAGAGCTCAACATGTCAGGATACGAATAAGCTCAGTCTATGCCATCTAAATACGAAACACTAGGTAAAGCCCGGCTCTTATCTGTTTCTTAAGCACGGCTGAGGGCCTCGTCTCCAGTCTTAAACTCGCTGAAGCCAACGATGGTGTGCTCAGTCTTGCCGTCCTGCAGCACCGCCATGATCACCCTCTGCAGTTGTGCAATTCGCTGAAAAGCATCTCCAGACAAGATGTGCACCGGTCCACACAAAGCACGAGAGATGGCAGGCACCAAATGTGTAATCGCCTCAGCTTTGAAGCTCTCGTCTTCGTTGCAACACACGCCCGGAATCTGACCATCTGCTGGTGTGCTGAGACCTTTGACCTTCGAAGGTCAGACAAGCTGCTCTGCAAGATACGGGGCCTTTTCGGCGTTGATCTTGACAAAGCGGGTACCCCAGTGCTTCTGGCAAAGCTGCCTGGGCCACTGCGCAGTGTTCCAACTCGTTCACCCCCTCCCCTCAGCACAGCAAGTGCAGACTAGCACACCTCAAATGCTTGTCCATGACCTCACATCTCCAAGTACTCTCTCTCCAGAAGTGAACGACCTCACGAGGTCAGCAGCACAGAGATTGAGCAAGAACGACAAGCATCGGCAGGGCCCTCACTATTCGCTCGCTCTTCTTCGAAACATCGAAGAAGTCCTCGGCAAGGCGGGACATCGACTTATGCCAGAGGTCTACTGCAACTGTCTTCCTTACCACTGCTCAGCCGGACGGCCCACGACGACAGTACAAGACCTATCTTCCGAGCAGGAGCGCCTTCTCCTCGATCATGGTGTACTCACCGTGTCCGACGGCAAGCTTCTTCATCTTGTCCTTTGCTCACAGGCTGCAGTTGCTAAACATGGCAGAGAGGTAGCGGTATGTAGCGGTAGCATCCCCAGCCCCATCCGTTTAGCTGCAGCTTCGCCGAGGTTCTGAGTGGGCACTCTTCATCTGCTCGAGACGCTTTCGGCGCAGCTCCTCAAGGTCATCTTCCTGTCCACAGAACATAAAGGCAAAGACCAAGTGACTCGAGGCCTAACGAACATCTCCGTGTCCTTCAGAGCATCCAAGCGGGCGATCTCGGCATCGATTTCGGCCTCCTGGTCCTGCAGACATTGCCCACAACGATTGGCCATGCCCCGCTCGACGGGAAAATGGAACAGCTCCCCTACACTCTGGCCCTACACCCCAAACCCTTAACCCTAAACAGTCGTCTTTCGGGCGGCCTCGGCAGCCCTTACCAGCACATCGTTCAGCAATTGAACGTTCCTCACATGCACGGGTGCGGTGCATCAGCCTCGAGCCAGATACTGCCCCTCTGCATCCCGAGTCTTCTTGCAACAGGGCTCTTCTCATAGTAGCCCATGGTGCTCTCGACCTAGACCTGAGCTGGCTTCAGTCTCACCAGACTTGCCAGGAAACGAAGCGCTGCGGGCCCTGCCTGGTAACTTCTGTACACTTTAGGATACTTTGGGCTCAGAGCCGAAAGGTCCGGACCACCACAACATCGCACGTCGTGATGCTTAAATTACCGAGATAAGGAAGAGCATGCTTGGCAGCTAAGCACCAAGTTGGATAGCGCCGCACCTTGGCTCTCTCCTCCATCTGAATCGCTTTGCGCTCGTTGTCCTGCGGATTATGCGTCAACTTGGACTGCGTTGCTTGTTAACGTCTACCAGCTCAAGCACGACGGCAACACTTGGAAGGGCCATGCAATGTGATACAGTACAACAAAGTGCAGTGCGCTATGATGGATTTGCTTTTTGGATGGCGCAGCCTGCAAGCACAGCAAAGTGGTCGACTGCTGGCTTGAATAAGGCACGCCTCCTGCCGCTCAATGAGAGCGAGCAGCGTGCAACATGACTGTGGCAAGTGGCTCTATGCCGTATGCCGAATGCCGTAGTGGGCAAGGAGGCAAAGTCAAGTTATTGGCTATCGTAGCTACAGGTGCCATTCGATCACTGTTGCCTTCGATGCCTACTGTCTGGCAATAAGGACACATAAGTGGCAGATGGCAATCGGAACTTCACATCAAGACCTCGCTTGTGTGGCCCGAAAGAAGCTGTACAACTGTGCTGTGAAGTGATCAAGCCCTGTGGCTGTAGCCGCTGTTGCCCTTGCCTTTTCCTTAGCGCCAGCAAGCACAACACAGGCATTACCTAAGTAAGTTACTTTACCGTATCTCACCTCTGCAGTTACAGGGCTGGTTCTTTTGCCTGACTGGCACAGGAGCATGGATGCTATCCGCTATCCCTTGTGACTTCTTCCGAGTTTGGTGTGCTTTGTCTTGGTGGCGTTGTGGCATCCCTCCTCATCACTGTTGATTCGCGCTATGCTGTTAAATAGCAAACAAACCGGAATTCCGGACGCTCTGCAGGAGCCTTTAATTCCTTGGGCCTGGGCTTGCACGCTGGTTGTGACACTGCAGTGCTCGCTTGTTTGGAGGCTCTGCCAAGGTTGTTCGAACCTCTTACAGAGCAGAGAGCTCGCCTACAACAGGACGAGGGCCCGACCTTTCCCCTTGGAGGATCTACGCCTCAGCTCCAGGAGGCGCCCTCATGATTCAGTGCTGTCAACCCCCCTTCCTGGGAAGGGCACTCCTGCGTCCACGATTGTGGGGGCTGTCCACCTTGCAGAACGCAGCCTCAGCATCCGCAAGTCGAGGCATCTTCAGAGGTGCCGCCCTTCGACTGGGGCTTCCTAGCTCTCGGGCGCGAGCGCTGCACGGTAGGGTCGACCCAGACACTGGGCTTCTCCTTCCGGAGGTCGACGAGCAGTCCGGCGGCTACCTGGAGCTTCGAAGGCATCGCCCGCTGGCCGCTAGCCACTGGCCGCTGGATCAGGCAGAGATGGCCTTGTTCCCTTCGGGAGAGCTCGCCATGGACGACAGGGTCTCCGAGATGGCGACTTCTTCGATGCCTGGCACCGATTCAGATGAGAAGCGCAGCTCCTGGCAGCGCTCTTCGCAACTTCCTACCTGGGCAGGTGGCCAGCGAGCGGTTTGAGAGGAAGGGCCTGCAGCCGATTGGATCAGGTGTTGTCACGATCTTGCGCTTGCTTCTGTGGCTCCGGCAGAGCTCCGGAAAGGCCCAGAGCACCCCGCATCAAGCCGTCGACCTAGGGGTCCGAGGCAAAGCTACGAAAGAATCACAGAAAACATCAGAGGAGGCCTTGTCGAATTGGCACTGCTGCACAGCTGTTCTGAACCTTCACAGCAGTTTCAGGAGAACCGAGGCTCGGCCTGCGCCCTGAGATTCGGACAGCATGGAGTAAGTCCTCTTGTCCGGCTGGACCTGCAGTGGTTCAGAAGGCTCTACATGCCCCGAGAAAGGGAGAACATCGCCAGTTACCCGCGGGGGGAGCATGAAAGGTTTGGCGCATCTCGAGCTTCATGCAAAAGGGGCTCCTTCACTTGCTGCTTTGAGGCTCCTCTTGACATATCCTCTGCATCGCCGTCTGCAGCGTTTGATGCGTAAGCCCTTTCCAGGTGTCTTTCTTTTGTTGAAATTGAACTGCGTGCAGGTGTCTATCAGGCTGTGGGATTTGTGGTTGTGCTTCTTTTCGCGTTCTTTTGGGTGTGTGACGCTGGGTTGATAATGGATGGGGCATGATGGGGCTGTTGGGGATTGCGTTCAGTTAGGATCACTCCCTGATCCGCTAAGACTAAGACGCACGAAGAGCTCTTGCCATGCGAGCGAAGTGAACATTCGAATGCTACATCGCGAGAGAAGGACTTCACTGACCCGCCTGCACTTTGCGCGCTGAGATTTTACATGCATTCTGTAGCAGCGGTAGGAGGCTTGGTCCAGTCTGGGGCGGCGCATTGGTGCGCTTGCTCTCGCTGGTATGGACGCAAATGCTCAGAACCTCAAATCCATCCTGTAGCAGTCCGCACTCCTGCTACCTCCTCTAGCTGCTGCTTCTCGTGATCAGTTGTCTCTCCAGAATGGCGGGTAGGACAAGAGTTGCATGTGGAAGGGGCATTCGTCATTCTGCAAGCTGCTTGTCAGACACATATAGTATAGAAGTCCAAAGTTTAGAAAACAAACTAATGCTGTTCGCGCCTTGCGCTCCATCATCTCTTCCAGAGTCCTGATGCCCCTCTGCAGCTGCTTGCTGAAGCAGCATGCCTGGACCTGTGCAAGGACATCTCCCCACGTCGACGAACGACGCCACAACGAGATCTGAGGCTTCTGCGAGATTGGCATAGACATGGGAGTTCGGGCTGAGGTGGTACTTGCCCGACAACTCCTTGACCTCGGCCATGTCAGTGGACAGCAACACACCCACTGCATCACGACTGAGAATCCCAGGTAGCGGACGAGCTCAAAAGCTTGGTCCACACGACGGGCACGGCTCATCAGCTTGACCTGAGGCTGGCTTCGTGAGACACGTCCCAGGTAGTGAGCTCCCTCTTCGAGGCTGGAACCAGGACAGAAAGGGTGAAGTTGCTCGGTTTCACGCCGGCTTCCTACAAGCGCTCTGATGCACGGAGCACTCCAACTCAGAGCATCTTCCGCTCGCGGGCCTCCATCTCCTTCAGCACTCGCAAGCCCTCGTCTACCAGACTGCTTTGGGCGCAGCCATCCAGGAGCGAGTTGTACCTACAAGTAGCACAGCACTATCCATGAAGTCCATGGCCGAACTTCCAGTGCTGTGCACATGAACTTCCCAACTGATATCTCTCCTCTGGTATTCTCTAACTCTGTGGTCACATGATCTCATCCGGCACCAATCCAGCCTGCCAATGGCTCACCGCAGACGGCTTCAAACATGGGAGATCGCTTCTCCAGATCTTCTTAGAAATCTGGTAGAAACCGTTTCGAGACTTCCCGTCACCTCTTCCCTCATCTCCTTGACAAGCTTAAAGGCTGCGGAGAGGTCGCCTCGGTTTGCTGAGAGGCTTTCAGAACATGACGCGAAACTCCCCGGTTCAGCTGCTGGCCGACTTGGCAATGACCTTTCAGCATGGTGCTGTAGGTGATGATGTTCGGCTTGATGTTGGCCTTCGCGGATTGCCAGACTACTTTTGCGGCTTGGGGCGCCGGGCTGGATGCTGCCTTCTTCATGTCAGCCAGAATGTCCGGCACGCCATCCATGCCTAGTGCACCGACACAGAACACGATGCAACCAGCAGCTACTGTACCGGCCATGGGAAGCATTAGCTCACATCATATCTTGTATCTTGCATCGCACCGAGGGAGGTACGGCAGCAGCGGGCGCAGCAGTCAAGAAGCGTGTTGTAGGTGACGATCTGCCCATGTCATCAGATCGTGCACAGTGTGAGACTGCAACGAACTGTCCGAGGACACGGCCGAAAGATCAATACTGCGCTTCTGCATTTCCTGCGCCGTCAGGAGAATACAAGTACAAAACTCCCGCCGAAACAGCTCGGACATGCAGGTGACTGTCGAGCCTCGTAAACGGACCAGACTTTCCCGGCATTCTTCTCGCGGGTGAAGCCCTTCAACACGGAGCAGTAGATCACCGCGTTGAGAATGCCCTTGCAATGGGGATCCTGGAACAGGACGGGCATGGTCCAAAGCAAGACAGCTGTCGAAGCTGTTCAGGCTCACGGGTGAGAGCTGCCGAAAGACCCGACATCCTCGCCCAGCTCTTGGATGAGATGCCACGCTCCATCTGGGTCCCCGTTCGACACCACGGCCTCACGGAAGAAAGTCTCGGAAGCAGGCGACGTTTAGATTCAGACTGAAGAGACGGCTCCATAATGCCAACGTGGCATCACAACTTTACAATCTTCACTTTACAGCATGAATCAAACTATGAGGCTGAACGAAGAAAGCGAAAGGCCGCGAAGGAGAGCAAGAGGCCGTGCAAGCTGGAGTTGACTCACACCGCAAAGATGCTACTCAGCCGTCTGAAACCTTTGCAAAGTTCAAAAGGAAAACGGACAGGGACTCGAATCTGCGACGCAGGTTAAAGAACAGATAGAGTCGCCACGTCGCCGCGTGCACCTACCGCAACCCTTCCTTGCACAAGGGCTCAAGCTCCAGGAAGTCTCTGAACAGTTCTTGGCTGCTTTTGCTTTTGCTCATGCATTGATCGGCCTCGATCATGCAGCCGACGGTGATGCTGGTGGGCTTGATGTGGCCTGTGCATGCGAGCTGAGGAGGCGGAGACGGAGAGGCCCTCAGTTGCCACAACGTGGCGGCGGTGCGCGTGCGCATCTCCTTCCAGCAGCGCCAGACCTGTGGTGGCCGCGCGCTCTGGAGACGCTTTGGAGCTGCAGAACGGGGACGCGGCCGACTTCATGTCTCTGGCATGCCCGTATGCCTTCCAAAAACGTGCAGCAATGCAGTGCGCTAAAGAACCCTCAAGGATTCAGGAGATCAATATACGTGAATGTGCAAAAGATCAAGGCAAGATTCTCAGCTCCGCCTTGATCAAGCTGCCGAAGGTGTGGGAGCCATTGACTTTGATGTCACCCGACATGAGCTGCCTGCCGGGTGACCAGTCTGCTCGTGCCAGATAGAAGTAGATGACAACCTGCAAGCAAAACACGAGCACTGATTGCCTCAACTTGGTGTTCAGGAGGTCCGGCTTCCCGATGCGCACGCAGGCCTCCACCTGATTCCCAGAAGGAGCAATCAGGTGGAGCCGGCGGTGACGGTGGAGCTTCTGAAGGCCCCGGACCACCGAGGAGAGCAGGACCTCGTCGAGCTGCTCCTCCATGTCATTGATCAGCTGCATCCTCGTCGGGAAAAACTTCTGAAAGAGGCCGAGAGTCCAAAGAGGCTACTGGCGGCGACTCGCGTGCTCCGCTCCGAGCCCGCCACGTGTGGTTGATGTCGGACTCCGGCGAGGAGCCGTTGAGGTTCTTCAGCAGAATCGAGCCTTTGGCGGCACTCTTTTTTCGAACCCGCAAGGCAGGGACAGAAACTAGGATTCGGCTGAGAGCCGCCAACGGAGCGCTGAGACCGCGGCAAGTGACCTGATTGGGCTTCACACCCGCAGCCTGCATCTCCTGGATGACCTTCCAAACCTGACACGGTCTGCAATCTAAGGCTTACGGCGATAAGCCCCTTGACTTGCCGGAGGGTTAAACAGACTAGGGGTCTGGGCTTCGACGCTCTGAACAATGCTGCTTTGCGCGTCTCGCTTTTCCTCCCCCTCGCTGCCAAGCCAGCTCACAGGCGGTTGCTGGGAAACGCTGCAGGCTCCAGTCACCAGCCCGTTCGGCCTTCCTGCTCCATTCGTCACAGCCTTTAGACCAAGATCGACCAGACCTCCTTCATCTCCATGCACCTCCGAGATCGGAAGCGTGGCTCTCTGGGTTGGGGCGAGGCGGCATGCTGGAGGAGGGCGAAGAGGATGGGAAGCGGGAAGCTAGGGTCAGAGCTCGGCGTCGTTGTACACGGGCTGCGCGGCCGTCCATCGGCTGTCCAGGTTCTGCGGCTTGGGACTAGGCGCCGGCGGGCTGAGGCCTCCCCAGGCATTCAGGTCGGGCTCGGGGCGGCCTAGGCCTCCCAAGCTGCTCCCCACCCAGGCCAACTCTCCAAGATTGCTGGGAGGGCTTGGCGTGGGAAGAGGAATCTCCGGAGCACTGAGCCCCAGCGTCCCCAAGCTCCCCAAGCCGAACCCTCCAAGCCTTGGCTCGGGGCTTGGATGGCTTGGGTTCGGGCTCGAAACCTCCTCCTCTCTCCTCCCTGACTTCTCTGCCTTTTTCTGGCTTCGTTTCACCTTCTCTGCATGTCTATCGATAAGCTTGGTGTAGCACGACATCATCTCGCCAAGGGCAATGACAATCTCCAGAACAATCTCATCCCCTGTTTCGTGCACCTGTGCCACACCACCAGTAGGCCCCAGTCGCCTATTTAGCTCATCCAGTCCAGAGTGAATGATGTTTTCGGCATCCCCCACGTGCTTCGCATCGGAGTTGGTGAGGGGCCAGTCCTCCTTGGGCCAATCCGGACCTTGCATGCGAGTCAGCATCTCTCGCTGCTTGTCTTGCATATGGAGCTGCCGTTCGCGATACAGGGACGCGGCTTCTATCGCCTTGGTTTTGAATGACCGCGAATCACGTGCCAGCCGTTTCTTGGCCCTTGCACGGAGACTTTGGACGGTGTGTCCGCAGAATGTGTTCACTTTTGTGTCGATCTGCATCGGCGGCGGTGCTTTGCCCATCACCCTGCTGAATTCCTGCACCGACACGGCGAGACGGGCGCAGCAAGTCGCACTAACAAGCGCAAGACATCGCAAGACGCTGTCCGCGCCTTCTCAAGCACGGCGACCGAGTCTCTGAGCTTAGGGAAGAAAAGTCGCACTTTCTGCATGTAGGGCTCTGTGAGCGGATGCCTCGCCAGTTCTCCGTTGTTGGAGACTTCCCTTCCGATTTCGTGTGCCTGTGGTGCGGAGGCGGTCGTCTTGCAGGATCTGGGGGTGTGCTTGCCTTACCGCAGTCTGACTGTGACGCGCCTGCCGCTGCAAAGCCTTGAACTCGATCTGGAGGCTTTCGAGATCTTGCACCACTTTCATGGAGACCCGATCGTGCGCAGTCGCAGCCTGGAGCTGCCCCGAGCAGTCTCACTGACGACGGCAGCAGACTTGTGAGAAATCTTTGCAGACACGGTGCGATTTCAGCCGCAGGTGATCCGGGAGGCAGTGGAAGCTTACTAGCCACTTGCCTCAGCATACAGCGTTTAATTTGGCAGCCATCGTTGCAGTCGAAACCACCCCGCCCCAAGCAGTAAAACCGTTGCCACCACGTGGCAGATCATCGACAAGGGCCCCAAGCCGCTTCCAGTGCACCTAGCAGCACAACTTGGGTTCAAAATGGCAGCCATGCAAGCTGGAGTTTTGAACTCCGACCTCAACTTCAGCGTGCGTCTCAGACAGCTCCGTGAATACACCTTGAGCACATTGAGATCTGAGAAGTAGAAGCAGAAGCCGTATCCATGACCGTAGCATGGCGACAGGACGAGAGAAGCGTCGCCCCGAGCCAAGGATCTGTGAAGCTTGCGAAGGAAAGCTTTGGGATTTAGACGGCAAGTGGCTGACGAAACTATCCGAGCATGTAGCCGTCTCGGTTGTAGCAGGTCTAGGCTTCATCAACTAGCTGCCAAAGCCCAGCACGAGCTTGCACTTGAGCTTGGTAGCTGCAGGCACGATGCCATGTGTTTCCAGAAACCGGTCTGCGCACGGCCTTCCATGAGCACGACGCCCTCTTGCAGAACCCTCCACGCTGTACGAAGCTAATTTGCCACAACCGCAGAGGCCTCAGCCCGCACCCTCCGGTCAGGGCTGGAAACGGTGGCGTTGACAATTTCGTTGAAAGTGATGCAGTTCCTTGGCACTAGTGACTAAGCCTTAAGCAACAAACCGTGAAGCAATGATAGCGGCTGTCTGGAGACGTAACACAAACCGAGGGCCACGCGGCTGCAGCTGCGCAACCTGCATCGAAAGGTCCATGCGCAGCACGCCCCTCCCCTCAAAGCGGGCCGATGTCAGTCAGGCCGAGGCCGGTGCCCTCATCTCTTCAACCAGCGCTCGGGCCTTTCCCATATGCCCGGCCTGCAGAGAAGAATTGTGGAGGGCGGCCTGTTTTCATGGTAGCCACTGCGACGCTGCCTGGAGGTGGGCTTTGATGAGGGTGTTGTAGCTGACGACGTCAGACATGCCCTTGGTGTTGAGCGCGGTGGATCTGTGCTCATGCTCCTATTTCATATTGTCTCATGCATCCCGTCTCCGGTCAAGTCTGTTCTACAGAGTGAACCAAATTTAAATGGAACACCCCAAGACCCGCACGTCTTTCTTCATCTGCTCCATCCATGCCTCAGCCTTCTCCAACTTCGAGCATTCCACGCAGGCCTGCAGGAGGCAAGAAAAGCAAAGGGTGTGGCTGCGTGCTGCGAGGGAAACGAAGTCACAGCCACTTGCACCATGCACATATATCGCAGACATATCATGTCTTGCAAAGCATGCATCGCACTCTATCGGCCCCCTCGGCCCCCGGCATCCAGCACAGTGTTGTAAACGACGCTGTTGAGCTCAGCTCCGCTGCTCTTCAGGGACTGAAAGACGTTCATCGCCTCAGAACAGACATGTACATCCTGCATGCATACATACCTATATCTATATATATATATATATATATATATATGTATACATGTACGTGTGTCTACGTGTGTCTGCATATAAACATATATATGTTTGTATCTATCTAGATATCTATATATATATATATATATACATATACATATACGTACTTATATGTTTATGTGCATATACATATATACATATATATATATATATACTATTTAGTTATTTTATTTCTTTACTATTTTATACATCACAAGAGACAGGGCGCGTACAAGAGACAGAGAGAACCTTTCATGTCTCATTCAATGAACGTTCCTGTTGCTTGTTCATTCGCGCACTTGTTATGCACGTGAATATCTGTGCATGTGTGGGAGTATGTATGTATGTATGTATACACGGACATGTACCTATGCATATATATATATATGTAAATATTTATGTATATATGTGTGTATATATATATATATATATACACACACACGACCGCACACACACACACACACATATATATATATATATAACACATAATATACGTGTATATATATATATATATAGCTGTAGATATATGTGGCACTATGTGGCACTCAAGATTGGACAGTTCTTGCCGCAGTCTTAAACGTGCTCCAAGGTCTTGGCTCCTTCCAGGTTCTGCTCGACAGCACAGCTGCGAATCATCGTGATGTGCTTGGCAACATCCAACCTTGGTGAGATCACAGCGCCAGTGCGGTGCACTCTGTGCTCTGCGCATTCGTGAGGCCCAGGCGGATTCTCGGAGAGGAGGGATTGTGCCTGCGATCGGCCAGATGCAACTCTGATAGAAGGTGCTCCAGCAACAGACCGGTGTGGCGGCAGCAGGCTCTTTCCCCACGTCTTGATGCGCGGGTACACGCGAATGCAAACAGCCGCAAGCCAGCTGCTTGGTGGTGGCTAGAGGTCTGTGACCTCCCAGGTGGTGCCCGTGGCGAGGAGACGCTGGAAGAGTCCTTCCCCACAGGCCGCGGCCGGTGAGTAGACACCGCCTTGTTTTGAGGACTTCGGCAGATCCGTCAGGGCCAAGGCTGCCTCTGCGCACATCCGCGCGGTGTCCTTGTAGCCGGGATCCGTGTAGAACTTCATGACGGCCTTGCACTTGGGGCTCTTGCTCTTGGTGTCGGCAAAGGCGGTGAGGGTCAGGAAGCCTTGCTCCATCTCCTCCTGGCTCGGTCCCACACCGGGCTCTGGGATCACACCCAGCCTGTACCAAAGGGGCTGAGTGAAGGGCAGATAGACGCTCACGCCCAAGGCGAGGGTGGTCAGAGTCGACAGGCCAACCTCGCTGCTCTCCAGCATTGCCTCGTGATACTTCAGGTCTGGCACCATCTTTAGGACCGCGTTGGTTCTGCGCACGGCATTTGCCATCACCGGTCCCATGATCCAAGGCCCGCCCTTCTGCCCCATTTCCTCGTAGTACTGGCTGCCTCCCGAGACTTCAACCGCACTCTCTCACACGAGTCCGAGACCCAAAGGAATCTCAAGGCATGGAGGTGCACATACCCTCAAAACACGATCAGTAGCGCCCTAGGACCTAGGACCTAGGGCCTACGGCCGTTTGCACCCGAGGAGATGCTGTTGAAGCCCAGCTGCCTTTCGGAAGGTCGACCTGAGTCAGGCACTCGGACTTCGCTCCATCCGCAAGATAGAGCGGGTCGAAGCCTAGTGAGCTTTTGCTTGGCTTCTGTTGCATGTTAAGCATGGCGGTGCTCATCGTTCCCCCGCTTGGGCAAGTCCGCATTTCTCCGAAGATCTTGACTCCTGTGAGCTCAGACCCGAGAAGCTTCCACAGCTTCCAGACGGCCAAATCCCAGGGAACACAATCTTGTCCACAGTGGATCACAATTCGAGAGCCGCTCTTCTTGGCAGCTGTATCATACTTCTCGATCATCTTTCTCATGAATGTGCTTTCGCCGCTGGTGTCCACGTAGTCCACCCCCAGCTCTGCACACGCCTGTACAAGAGGTTCTCCGTATTCAACGAAAGGCCCCACAGCCGTACAAACACATTTGGCCTTGTTCACAACTTCCTTCAGCTCATCTTGTGTAGCACTCACCACGTCCAGCACATAAACATCCGGCTTGGACTGAAAACCTTCAATCGCTTTGTCCAGCTTGCTCTGATTTCGCCCGCAGACAGCCAACTTGTACCCTCCCTTCGACTGGAAGTACTTCAGGATCAGAGAACCGGTAAAGCCAGTCGCTCCGAAGATGACAACATCGTACTGAGCCATGCGGCAAACTGCCGCGGATCACCAAGAACTGTAAACGACTCACTTGTGAGCTCGGAGCCAAAGGATTTCGGCAGCTAACACCCTCGCGGAAGCTTCCTGTATCAGAGAGCACCAACCGAGGAGCAGTCGTGCAACGGGGGGCGAAAGCACCAGCTTGCTGCGCCCGCACTTCAGGGCGGCGTTCATGACGCATCGCCTTTGCCGAGGCTTCCGGATTGGTGCCCTATCACCGCATCACCACCCGAAACATCGGGAATTCACGATGCAAATGCCAAATGCGCGAAGCGTGCCACCGCCACGCTCCGATCATCGTTTACACGCGCTTACCAACATCATTGTTGCACACATTTCTACCGATTTTGCTCATTGCTGCTAGCAAGCGTTTGTGTTACTTCAGCGCATGCTTCTGATTCCTCGGCTCCCCCGCTCGACGCGAGAGTCAAGGATGGCTCTGCCTTCACAGGAGGCCCAGAAGAGCGTGAACTCTCCGGTGAAAGGCTTGGGGTTACGGATGTTTCATGGCTTTGCGGACAGTGACACGGAGTCTGGGTCCTGCCCGAATCCTAATACGCACGGCATCGCCAGACAGTTATCCGCATCTACTAGATAGATAATTTCCTAGTGCACTCAGACTTTCACCAACATGAAGTGACCTTGAGCAGCCTGTGTCTGACGTCTGAAGGGCCTTCAGCCGCTGCCTTCTCGCGCAGCGGGGCGGCATCCTTCTCCTGAGCTTTGGCTGCGCATTGTCAAGGCAGTGCTGGCTTGTGTCACAAACATGGAGAGAATTTTCGAGGTGTCGTCTGCAAGATCATAGATTGAGTAGTGACTGATTATGTAGCCTTGCAATCAGTTTGCGGTTCGCACATGCTGCGTGCCGGTGACCGCCAGGACTACGAGGCCCGTGACTTGCTCGGGCTGTGGCATACATGTCACAGACCCTCTCGTAGTTCTCGACCTGGCAAGCAGCTCACACGGTGCATAGTAAGCTGCAAGCATTCTGCCCGTTCGTCAAACGCCTCGAAGTGGAAGCGAAGGAAAGCAGCCAAGACTGCCGCCCTCGTTCGTGCACGGTGCACAGCTTCAACTGCATACAACAACAATGCTTCACAGTATCGTTTGCGTACAAGCAACAAAAACTACAGAATTTGGCACGAAAGACACATATGTGTACAGGTATGCATTGTATATACTTACATAGTATGCATTCGTACATGTATACACGTATGCATGTGTGCATGTCTGCATGCATACGTGTATGCAGGTACATGTGTATGCGTGTATGTAGAGTCTACGAGCACGCAGTATGACAGCTCTACACCGTATGGATAAGCCACAGTAGTCTACAGCCATTCAAAGGCTGTACCATGTGATTGGCCGAATGCCAGGAGCCCCGCGGCATGTTCTCAGAGAAGTGCTTGTACGCCTGGTCAGCCTGGCCCGGCTGAGCTCAACATCTCCAAAGTCCGAAGCTCCCAAGAATTCAGCAGAGGAATGCAGGGGACAGGCAGACTCAAGAATGTCAGACGTTGCTTTTGGACGAGCCCCTTCGAATATTGCCAAGCCCCTGACGAGAGCAAAATTTCGCGACCTCAGACTTCAAGCTAAACAGCTTAACCGCAGAGCAGCGCAACTTTTCGTCTGAGCCGGAAGCTGCTGGCAGCATGCCAACAGTGCCAGGCACAAGTCGGGTCCTGCAAAAGTCCAAGCCCTCAACTCTTGCGCACGCCGCATATATGCAAGTTGTGGTGGGCAAGGAGTGATGAGCAATCATTGCGACGGAGATCTGCGGAACATGGATCTCTGTGCCCAAGCCAAGGTATGACGTTCGGCATGGGCTGTCCTGCGTCTGGCTTCTTGGCCACGGCCTCTTGGAAAAGCTTCTCGACTTTGCTGTCGTGATCTGTCAAGCGGAGGCGGGTCCGCGGTCAAGCATCTCAAGCAACTGAGGGCAGCAAAATGTTGCCTCGGTATCCCTTCATGAGCAGGCCGTATGTCGACTCGGAAAATGCCTCTGGATCCCGTATTGCGGCGCTGGCTCCGCTGCAGCAACAGCTGGGCTGGGCCCCTTACGATGTCCTTCTCTCGTGCAAGAGATTCGACCTAGCATGCAGAACCGCAAGCGCCGCCCACGGGGCGCGCGAAGTGAGTCTGAAGAAAGGCCTGCTGCAGGAGCTCCTCATCCTTCTCTCGCACGGCTTCGGTGACCATGGCCTGAATGGCCTTAGATTTGAAGCAGGTCATCCCAACTCCTGGAACTCTGCTCCGGGCGACTGAGGCCTCTGGCATCCTCCGACAAAGGCACTGTCGCAAGCTCGGGGAGAAACAGCTTCAGCTCATGCTCCTGTCGCAGAATCCAGCACTAAAGCCAAGATGCACACCGGGCATCGCTCTCGTTTGCTGACGTCCCCGAAATCTCTCCTTGCAAGCCATGTCGACGAGGTGACCAACCTCATGGGCGCCGACGGCGGTTCCCGGAATCCAGCGGAGAACCGAGCATGCAAACCAGGCTGTCTGCGATCTGGCGTGGGGCCGTGGAGGGTCCCGCCGCGGCCGGGCCTGGAAAGCCACACGGAAATATATGAAAGCAGAGGAAAGCCTCAGAGACTAAAGAGCATCATCATATGAAAGCATCTCTCTCTCGAGTCTGTCTTTCGTCCGCCTGTCCAGAGGGACTTGAGCTCGCGGAAGGTGCTCAAGGCCTCGGAAAGGGGGGAGAGGGGAGGGCCAAAGCCAACCGCTCCGGCCCCCGGCCCCGCCGGCGGGACGTCTCCGCGACTCGCTCGCTCTGCTCCCTCTGGGGCTCCGGGCATCCTTGAAGTTCTGCGTCTTCAGCGCCGTCTTGATGAGCACGATGGAGGCTCGCGTCGTCAAAGGGACCTCGGGGACGGGAGCGAGGCGCAGAAAGCGAGGGGAGTCGTCTCAGCGTCTCCGACCTTGGCGGCCTTTGCCTGCGCGACCAGCAGATCCACCATCTCGAAGTTCCGCAGCCTGAGACGGGCACGGGAGAGAACGAGGAAAGAAGGAGAAGTGGGGGCAAAACGGCAAGTGTTGATGTTGCCGGGGCAGCAGCGTGAAGTGCATGTTTACGAGGATCTCGTAGCTGCGGCTGTCCAACACAAAGCCTGCGCTCAGACGTTCTCTGAGGTGACTATCACGCTGCAGATCTGCCTAGCACCCACCTGTCGAGGGCAGCGCCGCAAGGAGCCGCTCGACCAAGTCGGAATCGAGACCTGAGCGACAGAAACATGGACAGACAGCTGCGTTCGGTCCAAGAGATGCAAAGCTGAAACCAAGCTCGGGACGCTTAGCCAAGGATTCCAACAAGTCCTTACAATCTAGTGCTTACTTGCAAACCAAGCACAAAGCTGATCCGAGGATGCAGATCTGCACTGAGAGAGAAGCGTTGATCAGCGTGCTGCTGCTTGAACCTGCGCAACAAGCAACTAAACGGCTAAGCCAATGGCCACCCAACATAAACAGCTTCGCAGGTCAAAGGCCTCCCTTACGGTTCAGGAAGTTGCACACCTCTCCTTGCAGAATCACTCTGACGTGCTCCGCTGTTGGGCAAGCATTAACTCTTCTCTTGCAGCACAGGTTCTCAAGATGTAATCTCCATCCTGCACACGAACTTCCACCGGTCACTCTCACACTCTTTCGTCAGATGCCGCTGTGGGAACATACCAGAAGCAACAGTCTGGTTGAAGGTCCTTCTTGCACTTCTGCATAGCTTCAACGACGCTTGCCTCGCATCGGTCATTCATGCGACTGCTCGATCTATTTCCATCCTCAAATGCTCGGTATGCTCAGGAGCTTACCAGCGGCACGGCAATCGAATAGTCATTGAACTTCTTCATGGCAGCCCAGCAAGTCAGAACCTGCGTCCGGAACTGTCTGCACTCTCGAACCTCCCGCGCTCCAACGCCCAGCCTGCTTCGGTTGATTGCCACGAGCGGCTTCTGCCAATGCAGACTCTACGTCCTCGAGAATGGCGAAGCATAACTGGCACTGCTTGTTTTCTGCAGGTGCATGGCAGCCTTGGCGGAGGCAAATTGCTGCGCCGTGGTCGGGAAAGCCTCCTGGTCGGGGCGAACCTACCTGCCCAACCTTTGGAGAACTGCATCGAAACAAAGGCTCCTTGCCGCTTTTGTGCTTCGTCTTCTGGGGAGTGGAGTTGCCAAACAGCAAGAAATGAGCCTCGGACATTCCGTTCTCTGCTGGGGACACGACTTTACATGTGCCCGATTTCCGATTGCTGCGGTCCTTCACTCGCCATCTCGGCCCAGGATGCATCGTCACTAACCCGAAAATCTCCCGCGTGCATAAGTGATTAGAGGGTTCTGTAATGTGCCCTGCTTCAATGAAGTTCCCTGGGCAGTTTCTGCTCAGTCGGACTCCGAGTCTCACAGCCCGGGCACCCGGCCAGTAGAGCTGCCAGGAACAAGGTCAGCTCGAGGCGGGCGGACACGAGGAAAGTCCATGCCTGTTGGGAAGAGCCGAGTGCGAGAGAATGAACAAAGGAAACAATACGACCCGTGCCTGAGAGAAGAAATCTCCCTCCACAGCCACGGACCTTGCACTTGCGGCCACTGCATCATAATGCCATCATCCAGTTCCCATGTCAAGGTTTCGGAATATTCACTCTTCACTTGGCACCGGGCATGTTGCTTGTATATGAACTCGAGTTCATTGCTCAGGTGCAGTGTACGCTGAGTATCAACCTCGCGAGGGAACCGGAAACATCACTCCACTCGAAACCCCGTACCTGCGGCCCTGCAAGCGGAACAGCATCAAGAAGACCCTTGTGCCAAAAACAACAACACAAGGCCTCCGCAAAGCGGTGGCGAAGATGCAATAGTACAGAGTGGCCTCGTGATGACAGAGTTGCACTTCATCGAGACCGTACAGACACAGCTGCACATACCACTTGGCCTCCCTTCCCGAGGCCCTCGCTCTGCGCGTAAGTGTTGCCGCCAACTCGGTGGGTGACAGGCAGCTGAGAGCCACGTGGCGGCGGACGGGCGGCGATCGAAGGGCTGCTGTGGACAAGACTGCTGCAGCAACCGTCACATGCAAAATCAAAGGCTCAGCTTATCAAAACCCAGCTCCTCTAGAAGTGCCCGACTTTGCTGCTCGAACTCCGCAATGTCACATCGAACCTCCACGGCTGTTGCAGCCGAATAAGAACTTCTGAGTAGGTCATCAGGGATACCTGGTCCTGCTCCTGCTGGATCAGCTGACTCTCGGCCGTCAGCTTCTCGTTCTCCTTTCTACTGGGCTAGGTGAGCATCCTTTCAGCGCATCCTTCGAGGAGAGGATTGGACGCTTCGCCTCGGCTCTCTTGCCCAGGAGCTCCTCCAGCTCCTGGAACAGCGACACAGCTTCTCATCTCTCGAGAACTGGGCCAGGCTGGCGGGTGCGGTGCCTTGATTCGCTGTTCGGAGATGATGCGCTGGTCCGCGACGGAGGAGAAAGCGAATTTCTGCCGGCACACCAGCAGCAAGAGTCACAGCATGACCGGCGGAAAGCTGGGGCATGCCACAACGGTAGTGGGCCGTGCATGTAAACGACAGCTCCACTGTGCAACCAGCTGCCCTGCACAAAACTGGCAGCTGAGCGCTGGACTGTGATGTCGCGAATCTGCCTGCCCACTCAGTTGGGCATGACAGGTTGAACTCATCATAACTCGTGGCCATCATCATAAAACGCTAGCGTAAAAAAGTACGAAGCTATCATGGCAATAACAGTCATACGAGCCGTAACAACATCACCATGACATGTCAGTAATCCCGTGACTTGGCCGTCTTCATAAGAGCTAGAAAAATGGTCACACCGGTCTGCGACAGCTACTATTCTATAGACAAGCAGCACTACGTAAATACCATGACATCAACAAAAACAATGAAAGTAGCACTCAACATCATAAGAATAACAACAAAAGATGAGCGTGTACAACTATGAATTGTACTCGCGAGCATTGGGTTTAAAGGAATATGTCGCACCGAATCCACACACACGGAAGAACACTGTCTGCAGCAGGCGCTGGCAGCATGCTGGTGATCTTTTCAAGCAAGAGATTCACACTGTTTGTGCGACAGGAGCATTTGAGTAATGAAAAATCATGCAGAAGCATGTCTGGCCTGCTAGGATTCGATGATCTGACTTTCCAAAAAACAGAGTGAAACTTGACAAGGGGCCATCAGTGAAGCCGACTTCGGTGCACTTTCTGACCTTCTGCCCCCCGTAACCGTAATTGATGAAGTCGTCTGATTGAGCAAACTGTCTGTGCACACGTTGGCCAGCACTATGGAGGATGGCAGCAGCCTTTTTTAAGGTGCTGCGGAGCTATTCCTATGAACCCGCTCTGACCTGGTGGTGGAGAGTTGCAGACAGCACGCTCCTGATCCAACAGACACGAACAGCTTAAAGTCTTAGAGTCTTAGAGAGCCCAAGCTCAATCCAACTCCACCACGATCTCCTTTGCAAAGCAGGATCGGCCTACGCACTACAGCATGACAGCTCTTGAAACATGATACGAGATCCAGTGTAGTTTGAACAAACAGAATTCAGAAGCTTCTTGCGACGATTACACAACTGGCTGTCTCTAATCTAAGCGTGTCTTCGACTGCTCCATGCCATGGAGACAGCCTCTCCGACATCTTTGGTGATGCCCAGCTGTTGAGACTATTCGTCGCACTTCTCGGCCGGTGCCTCACACACCGCGAACCGCGAAGTGCAGGTGACTGGAGCCCGGAAACTGCAAAGGCGACCGGACAATGCTTGCAAGGCACCCCGTGCAACCACATGCATTCCTTTGCAGTGACCGAGCATCTGAATTCAGAAGCCGAGCTCTCTGACGGCGAACAGCCCCCAAGAAGCTGCGACGGTGCCATCTGCTTCGCAATGACTGTGTTACAGCCAGAGCTTTGTAGCTGCAGTGCATCCCTGGCTATAATCCTCCGAAATGGGGGGATTCTGGCAGTCTTCAGCGCGGGCCTGGCTTTGGACCCTCGTGGAAAGCCGTTGAAACCAGTCGCAGCCTACTTCGTAGGCTCTTCCGTAGCAGGCTCCAGGTTGGAGCTCAGGCGCCTGCAGTGGCAGCACGGCCCGGGGTTGCAAAAAAAACGAAACCTCGATGAGTTTCCTGGGTCGTCTGAGTCAAGGTCAGAGCGCTCCGCTTCACAGACGTCATGCTGCGCCTGCAAGTGAGCAGGCACTGGCTATATTCTTATTGGCGTCAAACGGCTGCGTGCCCCCTGCCTGGTGGCTGGCAAACTTCTTGCACCCGCCCGCCGCAAGCTTGCCGAGCTCACCAGTGGAGGTAGCGTGTCCTGACAAGGGAACTTGCGACTCCCGAGGTTAAGACTTCATCACTACAATGCCCGGCCTTTTTGTCGGGCCTTGCCGGTGACAGCATTAACTCCTTAGCCGACCATTACGGAATTTGATGGGCTGCGATGCTCGGTGTGCAGGTGGCCCACTTGGTCAGGTCAGGTGCAATCCGCAAAGCAAGTGCCTTGCTTGACAAAGCCTGCTGCCAAGGTGCACCACGCCTGCACATGCTTCAAAAGCCGCATGAAGTCTCTTTTCCGTCACTCTTACGGTAACTCCAAGAACCCTTGGGCTCAGCCAGATCCGCTAGATCAATGGTCAACATGCGAAGCACTTCAGATGCCGGTCGTCGGCCTCTTCAGCGCCGTTGCACTGGTGCATCTTTTGATGACCGCTGGTGTAGTCAGGAAGGAGCGGGCGAGCGGCTCCTGACAGGATCACGGGGACACACCGTTCAAGTCGGCTTGAGAATGCTTGTTGCTCCGACTGCAGCACGTAGCAACCGGGAGCTATATTGTACTGTGACCCACCACTTCCTCGCCTGCGGCGGCAGAACGTCATACACCTGGACAAGAGAAGGCCGCACTTTAGAGGCTGGGTAGACAGCAGCAAAGCATATAGCAAAGAGCGCTACCCTAGTCCCCAGTTGCTGAGTCAGTCGCCTGCCACGCCGAGACCTTGGCCCAGGTGCAGGAGACCATCACGGAGCGCGCCAACTTCAGCCTGCGGAGGCAGAAACCATCTGCCAAAGACGTCTTCCCCAGGAAGTGGCTCATTTGTTGACAGGAATCAACACTTTCAAAGTCAACTGGGCACTTGAACGCTACAGCCGGCGGCAATAAGAGGCTCGCCTGGAATGAAGAAGTGGAGTGATGCTCACCAATCGCCTGGCTTGCCAAGTTCAAGGCCCAGCAAGAAATAGACTGCGAAGCATCGACCTGAAGGAGGGACAGCGCAGGAGACAGTTGACCGTGCGGCTTTGGACGCCCATGTCCATGCAGAGGTTGGTGAGGACTGCAACCTCGGGACGGGAGATCGTGGCCGCGAGAGTCAATAGCAGAACAGATGGCATCAAGCCGAGCATCCGTTGGGTCCAAGTAGCGGTGCCTGCGCTGAGACGCACCACACCGCTCTTCTGGCAGCACCGAGCTTGGGGCTGAGCTCCCGGCCTGCTGATATCCGCAAGCCTGGGCCGAAAGCTCACAGCCGAGCCCAGGCCCCTCGAAATTTATCTCCCGTCCCTGCCGCCAAGAGTCATGAACTTGTATTCCGTCGAAGAGGGCTGGGACTTGCCCGTCTTCTTCAGGGAGTCAAGCTCCTGCGCGGAAAAACTGTGCTCTTTCACAAGGGCGGAGGATGAGGTCCGTCCCGGTCCTCATCCAGGGAGCAGCGGGCCCCCTCCGCCAGCAGAAAGCGGCGCTGGCCCACTTCCAGGCCCACGGATCGGGCTGCGTCGCCCCGGAGGGCCACGTAGAGCACCAGCTTCCCAACACCACAGCCCAGGTCGTAAAAGACATCGCCGGGCCTCAGGTCCAGAGCACTGTACAAGGGCTGCATGCCTTGGTAGGTGACCTCGCCATACTGCAGATTCCCAGGATCAATGTTCTCATCAGTGATGTCGGAACCAAAGCCGGTGTGGTTCTTTGCGAATATCTTTTGCAAGCACGCAATCGCTTCTGCGTGGCTGGTTCCATGTCCCGTCTCCGTCTTCGGCATGGGACGAACTCCAGGCTCCCCGGTGTCTCACACGCAGGGCACGGCCATGCCTACATCCAAGCAGGCAGCGAAACTTATCGTACGTTCTTCTTGGAGGTGCGTTAGCCCATCTAATAACTAGAATCTAGAAACTTCACAGACCTGGGCCGATGTAGCGCCCAATGCCTCTTGCTCTGGGGATCCCTTCCTTGTTTTGTGCCTGCTTCAACCTGAGCCAGAAGGTTGGACGGGCATCTCCCCTTGCAGGGCCGAGAGCACCGAGAGCCCCCCGGAGAGAAGGGAAGAAACGTCTCCCACCGAATGCACATCTCAGAAATGGTGGGTGATGAAGACATGCTGATGCCGATTCATCCTCATTGCACCGACCATAACCTCGGCATAGATGAATCCCTGACGATCATGTTTAGAGAGATGGCCATGGCCGTCCCTAAGCAATCCTGAGGCACTGCCCTTTGCGCCTCTTCATCTCATCGGCAGAGGCGATAGCCTGGCACCGCCAGAGTTGCACGAAGCGACCGCTGATTCGGCAGGGTTGAGGGTACGTGCCTGGGCCAGCTGAGCTCGTAGACCGGAGTTCTCCTCTGGCAAGGAGCCATGCACCTGCAAGCAAAGCCCGCGGGGCGAAACGCTACAGCATGCCGAGGAAAGGCAAACCAGACCTGCGCGTGGTGGAGTTCTGTCGAGAGCACTGCCACATCGATGGCAAGCCTGAGGAACTCAGAGCCAGCAACTCAGAGCCCCCTTCATGATTCGTCTCGGGCTGCTTGGCTTCGGTGGTCGTTTCTCAAATGTGCAGCTAGTCTTCAGAACTTGTTGGATCGATCTGTTTAGTGGACGTGCCCTCCACCGCAAACGGATCCGCGGCAAGCCCAAGCCGACAGCCGATGACAGCCGCAGAATTACGCAGATTGCTTCCGCATCTGAAACCACTGAACGGATGCGATAATTCGTTCTGGCACCCTAGTCCCCGTGACAACTCCCTACTGCAGGTGTTTTTGCGTGAAACGTCAGCAACAATTCACTTGAGAACCCTGGCCCACGCCACATCCTCTCCTCAGTTGGGCGTGGTCCTGCAAGCTTGGGAATTCTCGGCCCCGAGCTGTTGCGCATCGTGGCGCATGGAGCCTTCGATGTGGCGAGCCTGGAATCCGTAGACATGGCAAGGCTCAGCAGATGAGAGAACCGGGGCTTTGGTCTTGTTGAGACACATGGTGGGACTCGGTTCAGAAGGCTCGCAGTGCCCAGGGGCTAGGCTCTATGTCCAACATGGTAACATGGGCCCATCGCGCTGCCTTCTCCCGGAGCCGCTCCAAAGCTGTCTCCAAGGAGCTGATCTTCGCATCCTGAACAAAATCTCTCAGACGCATGTACACGAGACTCCCAAGGCAGCCAAACGAATCTGAGACGGACCACAACGCGAATCTTCGGAAAAGCACCACTGACACGCCTTGGCTTTGATCTTCTCCTTGTACCTCGCAGCCATCTTTACCGGTGGTGTGTTTGGGAACTTGGCTGTGCCAGCCCTCCGCCCCGACCTTATCTTGGACTTGTCGTGCAAGGCATCCTCTGAGAACTTGTCCACCAGCAGTCGGTCAAGCCTTGAACGGGCACGGAGCAGGTGACATGAAGCGAAGGAGGAAGTTCAAGGAGGCCTGGAGAGCTCTCTATCTCTGAATGTTTCTGAGGTGTCGGGCTGGCTGGAGAGCTCGCGATTGCGATCCCGGAGCTCCAGAGCCTGGACGTTTCGACGGAGCTGATGCACCTCCGGCGATGGGCTGGGTGTTTGGCCTGCTGCTTCTCCCGCTCGTCCATGGCAGGTGCGACAGAGAGGGCCGGGACCTGCACAGGCGTGGATGCGATGCCATTGCGTCAGTCGCCAGGTTCATCATGATGGTCATCAGAAGCAGAGGCAGACGAGGAGGATACGAGGAAGCGATGAAAGTCCAGGCCCACCTCCGGCAGCGACGGTAGCGAGAGGCCCAGGCAAGTATGGCCCGGCTGCAGCCCCGGCTCCTTGACAGAGGCAGACGAAGGAGGTGTTTTCCCGGTCATGCTCTGCTTTCTTCTCTTCACCACGGCAATCATGCTTGAACTATCCGCAGTGCAACCTTCTGCTTCTTGTTGAAAAAGATCTAGGAGAATAGCAAGCATCGCTGGCAGGAGCCATGCTGTCCGGCCTCTGTGAAAATGAAACTAAACCTGTCACACTCTGCCTTTGTTATTTCCTCGGGCCTCCGGTACCTCTCTCTTCGTCTAGGTCCCCCACCTGCCTCAGTACGCACACCATGTTGGAGCGGAGAGATTGTGGGACATGGTACGACCCTAACGATTCTTGCCCGGGAAGAAAACAAATTGTCAACACCTTCATGCCAATAGCACATACAACTAAATTCTGAGGAGGACCCCGAGTTTCTTACTCCCCCGTGTCTTCCATCTCTTGCCTTTCAGAAGGGTAGAGACTAGGGGAGTGAGCCGTCTCTCTTCGTCAGCACAGCCAGGGGAGTCTCGCAGTCGCTCGATGCGCGACTTGCTTGCACACAGCCAAAGCACAGCACGAGACTGTGCCCGCGCGTGTCCGCGCACTGGTTGGTCTATTGCCAGGGTGAGACCCCCTATTACGATGAGGCCCTGTGCTGCACCGGCGAAACCATTACCTAAACTATATGAACCCCCAGGCCTCATCTTTGGTTGTAAAGTGGGCCGTTTGGCTCCGTTCGCCCCCCTGTTTTGAGGGCTCCGTTTTGGAACCTGTTTTCCCTTTCGCAAGCAGTAGCATGAGAAACTACAACCGCATCGACTCTTTGTCTCTCTCTCTCTCTCTCTATCCCTTTTCTCTCTGGTCCTTCCCATCCGGAGGAGGCCTGGGCTTGTCGGTGCTTCCAGACTCGACATACGACTGCTCCAGCAGAGGTCCAGGCGCCGGTAAACTAGCAGGTGGAGCCACCCTGCCGAGGTCCGACACAGATCTCAGAACGCTCACGCAACACCACCACATTCACCTTCCAAAGAATCCAGACCTGAGGCTTTAAAGTCAACATGCACTCACAAACTACCCTTGCCAGAATCATTCGCTTGAGGCCAGAACACGAACGAATGAACCCTTGCTTCTCTTGGCACAAAGCAAAGGACGAGAATGGGCCTCGGAGCCAGCGGGGCTCTGGGAGATGCGCGGCCTCTGCCCTCGGCGAGCAGAATGCGTTTTCAAAGGTGCCCTGGTGATCGTGAGGACTCATAGAAGAAAAGACTCGCACTGCAGACAAGATGCAGTTGGCGAGTCTGCAGGCGGCGGCGGAACCAGACTGCCAAAACTCGGTGGCCTCGTGTCGAGAAACGCAGGCACCACGACCACAACCACCGGCACGGTCGCCGTCGTCGTCATCATCATCACCGTTATGATCATGATCATGATCCCTCGTCATCGTCATCGTCACCATCCTTTTCATTCATCATCATCATCATCATCATCATCCGCATCATGACAACATCATTACCACATCATAACATGTCATATCATCATCCTCGTCGTCGCCATCGTGGGGGTCAGTCCTATCTTGCTTCAACCGTTTAGCGCCGGTGGGTAGTGGGTAGTGGCTAGTTATCGCTCGTAATGGGATCTTGGCTGTATGTCGCAGGTCGTCGGTGGTATGGAAGTGGTGGTGATCGTCGTTATACTACAGTTATCGCCATCGTCGTCGTAGTAGCAGCAGTCGGTGTAGGAGTAGGAGTATGAATAGCAGCAGGGAGGAGTCTCAGCAGCTGCGGTTGTGGGAGGGGTAGTCGAAGCTGGAGGAGGCAGTGGCTGCAGCAGCAGCTGTAGCAGTGGCAGTTGGCCGCAGCAGCAGTAGCACTTTCGGCACCGGCCAGCAGTAGCAGTAGCAGTGGCACTAGCAGTCGCCAGCAGCAATAGCAGCAGTAGCAATGCTGTGATACTGCTGCAGACTGGAGAAGTACGGATAGAAGCATAGGCGAGTAAGCAGCAGCAGCAGCAGCAGCAGCAGCAAGCAACAGGGGCAGGGAGCAGCAGACGCACCACGACCAGAAAGAAGCAAATCAGCTTCCCCGGGCTGCTTGCAAATCCAAAGATGCCAATAGCCTCGCACACGGGGATGGTGCCAGCGGTGACGTAGGTACATGTACTGCCTCGGGCGGGCATTGGCGGTTCAATCTGCCAAGTCCACACATTGGCACAAAGAACTGAGCTCCTAAGCAGAAAGCCTGACTGTCGTGCCTCCATCCTACCAAAGCCAAGCACGACACCTCTCCCCTGAGGCTTGGGCAGGTAGTGGCATGCACCGAGAAGATGGGGACAGCGATCGAGCTGGAGCATCTGCCAGGCGACCCTGAGCAAGGCAGCAGTTGGACTCTATCTGCCATGATGAGCTCCGGCATCTCGGGTCCGAGCAGCGTCGTCTTTCTGGAAGGCCTCCGGGTCCGGGTCGCACCGAAGCAAGATTGAAGCAAGGCATCTCGGTTTCGGAGCCTGGTCCCAGGGCATGATTGTCATGCGGCCACGGAGTCGACCACCCCCTGCCCGCTGTGATTGCTGCCTGCGAGGAGGCATCTTTGACTTCGAGTCTTCACACGGGACTTGGATTCCATGTCCTGCTGCGGACGCCGCGGCGAGCTCCAGGAGATGTGGAGGCCTCAAGGACGCAACGCGGATCGACATAGCTGCTGGGAGGCTTTTCCCTCCCCGCCTTCCGGGCTTTGCCCCCGCCGGGCGCGGAGAGAGCTCGTTGAAGCTGCTCCAAGTCAGCGGCCTGAAGGCACAAGACGACATGTGCTATTAGATTATGGTTTACATATTGTGCCGGGCGCCTTCTGCTCCAGGACCTTTGCTTCCCAAGGATCTTCCCGGGCACCGCGCATTTGCGTCTTGGCAAAGGAAAGCCAAGGAAAGCTCCCCCGCCCCCCACCCACACCCCGCGGCAAACGGCTACTTCGACAGCCATCATGACTCATCTTGGTTTCTTTAGCATATACGCAACACGCAGGTTCATTCTTGTCACCGTATTGATTGCGTCTTTATGTTTTGAGCAGCGCAACAACAAGGGCCTGCAGCTTCTGGAGGCGTGACTTCATCTCCGCCTGAGTCCTGGCATCCGGCTGCAAGTTCCTCCTCTCCCAGCGACACCCATCCGGCCGCCTTCGCAGCTGCAAGTTCTCTTCTTGCAGATCGTCTTTGGCCTTGGGAAAGAGCCAGGAAACAAGAGGAATGCGTGTCCACGCTTACTTCAGGATGCGGAAGGTGGAGACTGATCAGGATTTGGAACCATACTGGCATGTATTCATGTGGGCTTCCCCTGCCGGCAGCTAAGCTTGCACTTCGAGCCACAGGCTCAGATTATGTTGGGACAGCAACGGTTGACATGGAGATCAGAAAATGAAATGCTGTGGGGTCAGTAGCATCCTATCCCAATTTCTGGCTTTCGTGCCCCAAGCTGTGAATATCCTGGCCAGTCGTATCCGGAATCCCACGAACCGCAGCACAAGCCACCAGGTCGTTCGTAAAGGAACAAGAATCGCCTGCCGGACTAAACAGCCCGAAAGTAGGGCTTTCCGCACACAGGACTGGTGCCTTGAGGGCATCTTCGCCACGTGCGCAAAGAAGAGGATCAGACGCAAAGAGCCATCTTGGACTAAGCCGCCGGCACGATCCTCGATGATGTTGGTGTTCACCTGCGATCCGACCGAAACGCTGGAAAGCATGGCAGCTAAGCCGTTCCCTCTCGCCAGCTGACAGCTGTATCTGGTCCAATCCAGGTTCACGAACAGATATCAAGAAGCCTAGGCCTAGGCCCCACGGACGACGCCACGGGACAGCAAAAGCTGCATCTGCTGGGCTCTGCAACTATGCAATGCTCATGCGAACCCAGGCCGCCACCAGCTCGACATCAAAGGTACCGCCCAAAAGCAAGGTACAAGCTGTCAGAGAAATCTCATGTGGGCTATGATCTCTTCATACAGCATGCCTGCTGCAAGGATCCGTTTTCGATGGTCATCCCGCCGCATCTAGAAACGAAGCGCACTTATCACTTGCAGCTGCTTCCTTGGTGTGCAAGCATACAACCAAGAATGACCCCGGTCACCCTAATGCCAAGAGCACTGTCCATATGCCGTCAGAGAAATCTCATGTGGGTTGTGATCTCCTCATACAGCATTCCTGCTGCAAGGAGCCGTTTTCGATGGTCATCCCGCTGCATCTTCGGTGTGCAGGCATACAACCAAAAACAATCTCCACATGCCGTCAGAGAAATCTCATGTGGGTTGTGATCTCCTCATACAGCATTCCTGCTGCAAGGATCCGTTTTCGATGGTCATCCCGCTGCATCTTCGGTGTGCAGGCATACAACCAAAAAACACTCTCCACATGCTGTCAGAGAAATCTCATGTGGGTTGTGATCTCCTCATACAGCATTCCTGCTGCAAGGATCCGTTTTCGATGGTCATCCCGCTGCATCTTCGGTGTGCAGGCATACAACCAAAAACACTCTCCACCATGCAGTCAGAGAAATCTCATGTGGGTTGTGATCTCCTCATACAGCATTCCTGCTGCAAGGATCCGTTTTCGATGGTCATCCCGCCGCATCTTCGGTGTGCAAGCATACAACCAGAAAGGCCTCCGGCAACCCTACTGCGCGACTCCCAAAGCACTCTCCACATGCAGTCAGAGAAATCTCATGTGGGTTGTGATCTCCTCATACAGCATTCCTGCTGCAAGGATCCGTTTTCGATGGTCATCCCGCCGCATCCAGAAACGAAGCGCACTTATCACTTGCAGCTGCTTCCTTGGTCTGCAAGCATACAACCAAGAATGACCCCGGTCACCCTAATGCCAAGAGCACTGTACATATGCCGTCAGAGAAATCTCATGTGGGTTGTGATCTCCTCATACAGCATTCCTGCTGCAAGGATCCGTTTTCGATGGTCATCCCGCTGCATCTTCGGTGCGCAGGCATACAACCAAAAACAATCTCCACATGCCGTCAGAGAAATCTCATGTGGGTTGTGATCTCCTCATACAGCATTCCTGCTGCAAGGATCCGTTTTCGATGGTCATCCCGCTGCATCTTCGGTGTGCAGGCATACAACCAAAAAACACTCTCCACATGCTGTCAGAGAAATCTCATGTGGGTTGTGATCTCCTCATACAGCATTCCTGCTGCAAGGATCCGTTTTCGATGGTCATCCCGCTGCATGTAAAAAGGGAGTGCACCAAAGCACCCGATTACTCCAGCTTAATTGGTGCAGCTGCTGCTTTGGTCTTCAAGCATGCTCATGCAGCCAATTGGGAACGCCCCCGGCAACCCTACCCAGCGACGCCAAAACACTCTCCATATGCTGTCAGAGAAATCTCATGTGGGTTGTGATCTCCTCATACAGCATTCCTGCTGCAAGGATCCGTTTTCGATGGTCATGGCGCCGCAGGTAGAAAGGTAGTGCACATAAGCACCCTACTACTGCAGCTGAATTGGTGCAGCTGCTGCTTTGGTCTGCAAGCATTCTCATGCATGCAACTAGGAACGCCCCCGGCAACCCTAGCGAGCGACGCCAAAAACACTCTCCACATGCTGTCAGAGAAATCTCATGTGGGTTGTGATCTCCTCATACAGCATTCCTGCTGCAAGGATCCGTTTTCGATGGTCATCCCGCTGCATCTTCGGTGTGCAAGCATACAACCAAAAACACTCTCCACATGCAGTCAGAGAAATCTCATGTGGGTTGTGATCTCCTCATACAGCATTCCTGCTGCAAGGATCCGTTTTCGATGGTCATCCCGCCGCATGCAGAAAGGATGTACACTCATCAGTCGTTCTGCAATTCACCCAATTGCTGCAGCTGCTGCTGTGTTCTGCAAGCATGCTCATGGAACCAGGAATGCCCCCGGCCATGCTACTGAGTGACGCCACAAACACTCTGCATATGCTGTCAGAGAAATCTCATGTGGGTTGTGATCTCCTCATGCAGCATTCCTGCTGCAAGGATCCGTTTTCCATGGTCATTCCTTCGCACGTAGAAGGAACACGACGCCCACGCAACCTCTGAATGCCAAAGCACCACAGCTTAGGTGCCACAGCTGCTGCCTGTCTCCGCAAATACGCTCGCACAGCCAAGGACGCCACCAGCTCGACACCAAAGGCACCGCCCACAAGCAGGGTACATATGCCGTCAGAGAGATCTCATGTGGGTCGTTGTCTCCTCATGCAGCATTCCTGCTGCAAAGGTCGGCTATCGCACGCCCAGGCACGTGCTGCGAGTCTAGATGCTTGGCATCCCCCGTCGCTCGAAGCAGCCTGCTGTCCCCCCAAGTGCTACTGCAAGTCCTTCAGTCGAAATGCGTAAAAATGTCAAAAGCCCCAAAGCCCAAGTTTGGCATGTCAGAGACCTCGCTTCCAGCATCTCGCTGCGTCTGCACACACCGTTGCATCTTCGTCCCTTTGTCTGCGTGCGTTTAACTCAACAAGTGGCCCCGGATACCTTGGAGAGGCCACCGCGCCCAGCTCCCAGGCCCAAACCGCGCCTGCAGAGAACGGAGGGTTTCAAACGCGAGGCTTCAAAGGGTCTCTTCACTTCAGGGCAACGCGCATGACGGGACCTTGTTGGTGCTGCAGCTTTCCTTTCAACACCAGGGTGGAGACTGACAGTGACAATATGTGTTTGCATGTCAGTGCTAAAACGTTCTGCACCCAACCCCTGAACTGAAAGTATTCTGATGGTGAGCATTCCATTGAACGATTTCACGCAGCCGAATCATCGTGGTCCTAAAACCCATTTTGAGGTCTGAACTTTCAGATTCTGCATATTTCTGCATTCTCGCGACCGTGGAAGGACGAAACGGCCCTTTCCTTCCATGCTGACCTGTGAACAGTCTCGTGTGTTGTCTAACTGCGGCGCAACTCTGCGCGGACAACGGCGAAAACCGCTCTGTCGCCGCATGTGTCTTTCAATCTCTCCTTGTGTCTGCGAAGCTGTCCCTGCATGCGTGTCTTTGTCGATCTGTGTTCACCTTCATGGATTTGTCCACGCATGTACTCATCTCCTTGCCTCATTATGCATATTTGCAAATCTGTGTGTATGCATACACATACATGGTTCAGGCTTTCATACAAGCAAGTGTGTGCTTGCTGTCTAAACTCTTATGCTTATACAGTCCATATATGTGCATGTGTGCATGTACGTACTTCTTTGACTATTCATGTACAGAAATAAACACACACACACATCCGTACAATTCCGTACATGTACATATAACACAGGTATACATACATACGTACCTATGTCGGTTCGTATGTATGCATGTATGTATAAATGTATAAACGGGTGTATCTCTGCTTTTCACAGATGGGTTTGGTTGCTTAGCTGCTGACAACCCCATCTTTTTGCCTATGTGCTTGTAGACTAGATTGCTTTCTTATGTATGAATTCATGTGTCTGGGCTTTATGTTGCGGTCTTTGCTTCTTAAACCACGATGTAAATTTTGCACTTACACACATCTCGGAATGCATTCACATAATATAGCAGAAGATCTTAGTTAAGTAGCTGTGTGCGACCACATGTTCTATCTCAACACACACACCTTTACGCGCACAGACAACCACGTCTCCATGACCTCGTCAATCGTGACCGAGGCGACCCTTAACTTCCAAACAAGTGGGACGACAGTTGACAAGGGAGGCGGGCAATGCCTGGCACCGGTTCTTCCCGGCATGGCTCCGCGCGGCCTCTTCTGATTCGGAGCTTGGATTATCTCTTCCCTCAGGCTGTGGCTGCCAGAACTTTAGACAAGCCCCCAAACAGAAAAACTAGCTTAAGCGAGTCGGCAGAGAATTGAAGCACCATTCGATCTTGTCTGAACCCTTTGTGTCCTTGATGGGTCACCTAAGTGCAGTTGCTAAGACCGGATTCCCTGAGACGCACTGCAAAACCCATCAAGACAACTGCCTGAAGCGAACCTATCTTGCCCACGCCTCTCCGGTTGTGCCGTTCTCCGTGCAACGGGCAGCCCATAACGAAGCTGTCCTCCACGGCATCCCAAATCAAGAACCCCCTAGACTCCTGAACACCAAACTGCTAAACTCTAGACGCTCAAATCCCGAAACCTCAAGCTTCGGCACCCCCAAGGGCCCCTGGACCCTTTTGGGGGCCCTTTATGGCCTCCCCTTTGGGCCCTTTTGGGGGCCCTTTATGGCCTCCCCTTTATGGCAATAAACACGACGGCCTCGGCCGTCCAGGAGACCAAACTCGGCGTAGCCGCCACGCTGAGAACCTCGCCGCGCAACTCCGACAAACTATAAGGGGCCTTAATAGTTGGAATAGGGGTTCCTTTTATAAAGGGTCTATAAGGGATCTATAGTAGTTTTTTTTATAGGAGACTTAATAATTAGAATAGGGTTTTGGGGCTCATAATAATAGAGTTACGGTCGTCCATGCGCAGTTTCACCCCTACATACAACTGCAAACATGCAGAACGACGGACGGACGGACGTACAAAGACAGACGCACGGTCGGTCGGTCGGTCGGTCTCTCCTTATGTATGTAAGTTTGTGCATTCGTTTGTTTGTTCGCACACATGCACGGATGTATGTATGCATGCATGCAAGCATGTTTGTACATATGTATTTTTGCAATACAAAATCGATGCAGATGTTCGGTCATATACAGCTGCAGGTATGCATATACACACATATACTTATCTACATTTAGACATAGAGGACATGTGTGTGGATGTTGTCATGTATGTCTACTGCGAACCTGTGTACATACAAGTACACTCAAGCTTGAACACATCAGGCACTTCACGTGCCTTCAGCTTTGGTTCCGCGCGTTCCTGGAGCGCCTGGACGAGTCTGTCAAACTCCAACTTGATCTCACGAGGAAAGTTTCAGACAATGGAAGCATCATGAGTCATCATGAAGTTACCCAAACACAGACGGCAGCATAGGGGAGAACCTGCAGACCGCAATCTGTGGCAGTTGCCTTCTGCGAACCTTAACATCTGCGCCGATGCTGCAGCGTCCCGTTTGGCCTAGTCGGGTGCATCCATGGCAAAGTCTGGACTTAACACCGGCATGCAACAGAGCCTGAGGACTTGCTTGATATTACGTGCTTCCGAACACGACTGTATACGCCAGCGCATTGATGCCCAGTTTCGTTTTACATTAACGATCACATATGTAAGTTCTCATCCAATCTCTGCCCACTTCGAGCATCTGACATTTCCAACACATTCGGTTGCTATAAATGCCTCCCACATGCTTTCTAATGCCCCTGTCTTTGTAGCTGTACCATGGTCTCGGAATCACCTATTTCTGCCGCTTGCATCCGTAAATGTGCAAGTCCGACCCTGTAGTCCATCACCGCAGATTCGCTGCTAACGTCCGTTGCAAACAGAGCCTGACAAACATGGTCTCAAAAGCCCCATGCTGGAACCTTCGGGTCCGTGGCTCCTGCATGTAGATAGTCATGTTGATGTACTTACAAACATGAAAGTGGGAACAAGATGAGACTATTCTGCAAAAGGCCAGCTTGTATCTTGTTCATGCCTAGCGTGTTCCACAGCTCGCTGCCTGCAGCGCGCCTTCCATGCCTCAGCGATACACCGCTTTCCGAGTAACGTTCATGGAAGCTGGTGGTCTTTCGCTGCAGAAGTGTTCACAGGGAGGAGGGCACTAAGGGATTCTTCACCATCGGTGCCGTGCGTGCAGTGCTGTGCCGGCAAACTCAGATCTTGTACACTGCAGCGGATGTAGCAGATTCAGATTAGATACCTTACCAAAAACAAAGACGGACATGCAGCATCCGTTTCGATGTGTCCAAGCCGATCGAGTCTGTGTAGCTGCCCGGCTCGTATATATATATATATATATACACATAGATTTGCACAGACACACGGAGATAGGTAGCTAGGTAGGTAGGCAGGTAGGCAGGTAGATAGGTAGGTAGGAAAAAATAAGTAGATAGACAGCCAGACAGACAAACAGATTGTATTGCAATGTATGATATATAACCATATCCCGAAGACCCCCAAACTTTTACTGTTAGCATGTGGTACAATACTCAGGAGTTTCCAGATAGGTTCTTCGTGATATAGATGCCGCTGCCCCCTTCACATACGTGCTACGTTCGGCCGAAACTCAGGGTGCTAGGCTGCTGTAGTTATGCGAGAAAACAAACTAGGAATTGCTGGCGATAGGTGGAGGAAGTCCACAGGCTACTGCGGTGCCCGGTGGCTGACGCATCCATCCTGTAAGCTTATCTCCAGGTGTCATGCGAAAGAAGCATTCGGGTCGGTTGTGTGCTGATGAAGTCCACTCACATGCATGGAAGGCCACAGACCTCGAATCAACGACGACGTTGCTCCTTCAAGCCCTTGAACTCGCTGGGGAGACATCTGGACTGTGCAGCTACATCGAAGTTCTATAAGACCCCACTGACTTCGGACATCTTTTCCGCTTGTGACAGGCTTACAGCGCTCACTCCCACTTCGGCACATGCCTATGTGTGAGGCGCTTCATGTAGGCTTCCTTTGTGGAAGCGCCAAAAACAGCCGCTTTCGACCAAGAAGTGCCGTGGCAGCGCCTCGAAGACGCCCCAAAGCTCCAGCTCCAGCTGCCTCCCACTCTGAAGCGGAGAGACGGCTGCGGTGCGCACAAAACCCCCTCATCCAGACAGAAAGACCGTGCCCGAAAACAACTTACACGGACCGAGACGCATGCCTCAATTGAAGAAGTAGCTCGAAAAGAGAACCGAGAGGATGCAAATCAGGAGCAGACCCCAGTACAACGACCTCAGTCGGAATGCTCACGATGCGGACGTCACAGCCGTCGGAGACTTGACATACTCGGAGCAGCACGTACGGTTCAGCTCGACGGGAAGCATCGCGTCGTTGGGGCGCGGCTCAGGAAGAGCCTTCACTTTTGGCGGCAAGCACGACTCAGGACAAAACTCTTGGAGAGTTCACAAACGTGGAGGTCGGTCTGTGCAGCCAGGGCAAAAACACAACACCAACGCCTGCATGATCACAAGCGGGGTCTTCTCTGCGAAAGTCTCGGTGCCAGGTGCGACGGTGCTGAGGACACGAGGCGCGACGAAGTCGGTCTCCTCGCAATTTTGTGCGCAAACGGCTCTTGCAGCAGCAGACCTTGACCTAGATTCAGTACTCCCGTGCTGTCAGATGCCTGGGCTGGCGTCTGCAAGAGCCACGCGCACGCGGCGGCAAGGGCCAGGGTGCAGAGAATGGGGCGACGGAAGGCCATGGTTGCAGCCTGGCAGAAAGTCGAAACCGGAGAAAAGCCCCGTTTTCAAGAAAGACGCCCCACTGGGCTTCTGGCAGGGGCAAAGGGCAGGCACAAAGCTGGCTTCAGCGCTAGCAGCTTAGCATCCAGCGTCCCGAGCCAAAAAGGCCACGGAAGGCTCCGGCGATTCGCGATTTCAAGCGGAGATCGCAAGAACAGCCTGCAAATCCTCATCTCTGGAGCTTCAAAGCTGAGCCGAGTTTCCGACGGCCATTGTTGCCGTTACCCTTTGCCTGATGGAAGCCAGGGCGAGAATCTGCACGTTCTCGCTGGTAGATCTTCCGCAAAGGACAAGTCTCCGACCACGAGCTGGCGCAGAATGGCATCGTCATGCTGCGCCTGCTCTGAACTCCACAGGTCAATGCCGGAATGCCAACCCTCCGATGGCCGCAAAATCGGCTGCAAGTTCCAACTTTGACTTTTGTGCGCTCAAGCTTCACAGCACGGCTCAACTCAACCTGCATTTGACTGATGCCCATCGGTTCCCTGTGTGCCTTTGATCTATTTGGTGGTACGCCTACGAAGAGTGCTGTCGGCGTCAAGTGCTTCGCAACTGCTTTGCAGTCTGGTTTCCGTGTTTTCCTGTGGAAGTCGATGCCCTGCTTCTTCCAGTTATGCTTGCAAGCAGGCGCGCCCCCAAGGGCAGGAAGACATATGCAAAAGTTCACAATGGCTGGGAATACCACCTGTCAGAGATCACATCGTGTAGTCTTGAATTCCACAGGCCAACACTTCAGAGTGGGTTGCCTCAGACAAGCCACACGGTGCAATTGAAAGTGAGCTAAAACTGCAAGATGCAGCTTCCTGAGCTGCACCTTCTTTTATTTACACTAGAACTAGCAGTAACTAGCAGACCGCAAGCTGGTCACTAACAATGCTGGACCCACGCTGCTCTCACCGCCGCGGGGTCCTGCCTGCCGGGACTTTGAGATGAGAGCAAAGGAGGAAAGGGGAGTCGCTTCGACACTACGTCGCGACCTGATTGAAGGCTGGCGCTGGTTCCTCGACCATTGAAGCCTGCAAGACGAACTGGAAAACCCGACTCTTCAACGTGCTTTCTCGCAGCGCCTGAGACCGGTGAAGTCGGGTGGAAGGCTCGGCCTGCATGAAGAAAGCAACATGAAGAAACTGTCTCTCCTTGTAGCATTCCCTGTGCTGTGAACGGCCTGCTAATGGGGCCAGTGCCAAAGATCTGACCGCGGCGAAAGCCACCTGACACTTTGTGGTAGCTCACGTGTCTGAATGCCATTTGCGCTGCTCACCGATGGGCAGCTGCTTTCTGGCACGACTATGTGCGGAGGGAGAAATCGCTAAACACTACAGGTCACTTAGAGACGTCCGCAGGCGGAATCACGCCTCACATCAAGGGTACATAATCCGGAACCGCAATAGCCTTGGCCCGTGAACCCGCTTAGCTTCTTCCTTCGTTTTCGTAGTGATCTCCATTCGTTGAGACCGTGCAGCTTTACAGGCGGCCATTCTGCTTCTGGGCCTTGGGGATTCTGCAGCTTCCCTGCACTCACAGGTCGTCTCCGCATGTGGACTGCTCCGTTTCTGGGCTCCCCAGATCCAGCATGATGCAGGTTCTCTGCAGGCCACGACATACACGCACACAACTGCTTTCTACTGGCAGGGCTTCGAGTTGAGTGCGTCGAATCCGTAGCCTTCATATGCCATGAATGCTTTGGGGTGGGTGTCAGTCCCCACTTTATGGCAAAGGGAGCTTTGAGCGTGTCAAGCCGGCCAAACCTTCAATCATTCGTGTTGCTTTCGGTGTAGCTCCATCCCAAGAGCAAAGCGGCGCGAACCCTTCACACCTGTGCCACAACAGGTGCTTCAAGCCTTTATCTTCTCTTCCAAGCAACTGTAGACAATGAATCAACTTCAACCTGTTGACCGCCCCTGGGTGACTTCAGCCCTCAACTCTCACCCCATGAGCCCCCATGCTCTTTTACCGGAAGTTGGTGAACAACTCACAGGGTGCGGTTACCGCGACTGGGCAAGCCCCCGCTGTTCACATTTGTCCGGTGCGATGAAGCAGTGCCAGAGCGCAACGGAAAAATGAGGGAGTAAAGTCAGCTTCATATGCGGGATTCGGGTACGTTTCAAAATGCTGGCGTGTACCTGTATTGCATACCGTGAAAACTTGATCTGTGCTCATTTAGAGCTTCCTCGAAGAAAAGTACTTGTGGTGACATGAGAATGTCGCCCTCCATGCTTCATGAAGAACACTACTATACGAACAACCTAGGAACTCGATATCAATAACTACTAACAATGACAATAACAACAATCGCAATCAATAAACACAAAAACAATGCTATGCTAATTGCACCTGTTGCAATATTCGCAATGCCGCAGCAACAACAATGTGATTATCATCATCATCGTCATCATAAAAACAATCATCGCACTAATGACATGTTGCCTCGATTGCGCAGGTCTTCCCGGCGCCTCGGCAGCTGCTGTCGCAGAGTCGGTCTGCGACTCAGGCGGAGCCTCCACTGGCGCCCGTGCCTCGAAAACAGAGACGCAGAGAAGCGGACTCATGACTGTAGGTGTCCAGTGTAAAGGGATTCCGGCGAACACCGAGCTCCGAACTGCCGTCGGTGGCACCAAGACCTGGAAGGCACTGCACCCTCTTGCGCAGTTCTTGGCAACCTGTGCCCTCGTAGAGGCTCCGACCGTCAGGAGACTTCCAGTGGAATTGGCCGAGGGGCCCTGGCCTGTCGCCTGGGTGCCCTGGCCTTGGCGCTTCCGGCTCTTTCAGGCATACGCCGAAGGGCCCCGAGTTCTGGGATCTGTGCTTGGCATGACGCCGAAGGGCACAAAGTTGTGACTCGGAGAATGCCAGTCCTAACAAGGCCAGCCGAACAAGCCGAGCACATCCACAAGTCACAGGCGGTTTCTCACATGCCGCTTTACAACGCTTATCCTCACGCTGCTTGTAGCATTCTCCACCTGGATCGGCGAAACACTTGTGAGGAGAACCAAAACTGCGACAGCACGCAAAGGTGAGCGCCGGGCACAAGACAAAGTCGTCACAGTCCTTGCAGCGGTAGCAATCGCCCACCACTGGCGAGACAGCGCCTCAGTCAGAAAACATGTCATGGCAACAGCAACAGCTTCGTCCTGAGAAGCTGACACGAACCACATACCAATCCGAAGTGAACAGGCTCACCACGACGCATAGACCTCTGAACACATTTCTGGCATGTTTCCCTCGATCACAAAACCTGGATGCAAACATGCAAAGCATGCTCCACCCATCTGCGTCGTTCTGCTGCCTTCATGCAGACAGAAAAGCAAGCATGCTCCGAGATGTGGGGAGAACGAGAGATCTTTGCAAAAGCAGCAGGCTATGCTTCGAGGAGACAGTTCAGATGAAGACCAGCATGAAGCGAGAGAGGAGGTAACGCCTGACATGAAACGACGTGTGCCGAATTGCCTGCTGCTGCTGCTCTTGGGCAATGCGTTCCTGCTTAACCTGCAACAAGCACCATTCTGCGCAACTTAGCCCCATATTCTTCATGCTAGTCTGGACAAAGCATTGCGCCTTCTCCAGAGCATCGGCCTCTTCTTTAAGGCCAATGCTGCGTAAATACCTGGCGCAGAGAAAGGTACGGAATGGCTGCAGCTACGAGCATAGCACCCTCAACTGCAGCTGTGCCTAACATCATCTACTTCCAGCTCCAACCTGCCGACATGGAATTTGACAAGGCTGAAAAAAGCCAAAGCCAGGAAGGCAGGAGGCTGGCCTACAGGTCGGGCAAGTGTGCCGTCGTGTCAGCCAGCGTCGAATGCAGTCCTTCAGCTGCCAGGCCATGGACATCCGAGGGGAAAGGCCCTGCCCCCAAGAAGCTCCAGCAGTCGCCTTGCCTCATGGAACACGTGCTGGCAGTTCAGCGTTACGACGGGAGTACCATTCTGACAAGGTGGAGCGCCGCACGCTCAAGTCCGCTTGAGAAGGGTGCGTATGCATTGCACGTTTGCTTGCATTGTCCTCCCGCAAACTATTCTCAATCCGATGTCCCCAATTCTGATGGTCTTCAACATGCTCTTTCCCACGGCCGTGCTACGGGCCGTGCCCACAAAGCTGCAAGATGAATCGCACCTCAACAATGTCTTCTGCGCAGATGACACAAACGCAGTGCCCTCCGCAAACTGTCTGATGAGGGGAGGCCTGTCAGGCATTCTGCAGACATTCCCACACGGGAGCTGAGTTGAGATGCAACGGACCTTGAGCCTGGATACGAAGGCGTCACAAGCAGGCTCTGCCGGAAGCTCCCCATCCTCTCGAAGAGCACTATATTAGTCACTATATGATCCGCTAAAGCAGGGAGCAGCAGAAGTGATGTTGCGGAGGCTCCTGGTCCATATCCTCGACACCGAAACTCAACGAGGCAGAAAGGCTCCCTGAGGCAAGACGACTGAGAGTGAAAGCACACGACGGGCTCTTCCAGAACGTGCTTCCACCCCCCAAACCCGCACCACAGGCGCCTGGTTCACTCTCCCCAGTGATTCCAAGCCGCTGCCGCGCAACGACATTTGGCAAGACACGAAGCAGGAGGCCGCCATCCTCACGGGCGCGGGCTGGTGCCGTGTGCTCCCCATGCGTACATAAACGTGTATATCTCTAGACCGTAGCTTGTCTGAAGCCCAGAGCTTACATGATTCAATGTCTACATGCTTACACGCATCTCATAATATAACATATTATCATATCATCTAACTTGATGTAATGTGATATAACATGAAATAACATGATTTGATATCATATGATGTGATATAATACAATACAATATAATGCACTATTACATATATACATATTGTATATACATATATGCACTGATATGTATATACGCATATATATATATATAGATAGATACAGATATACATATACACCTCTTTGCTGTAAAAGAAAACGAGCTGGAAAGTGCCGAAAAGAAGAGCTCCTCTGGGCGTTCTAGCGCAACAACCGTGACTGACCTGGCGGGCTCTGTAGGAAAAGGGCTCTGTGACGGAATCACGAAGCTCTCCGACATGAATCTCTGGGGCATTGAATCGTGGTTGAAGGCATGGTGCACGTTGCTATAGTTGTGGTAGGTTCAGGGTAGACACCTCTTTTTCTTGCCAGGGATTGTGTCAGGCAACAAGCATGCTGTTGTTATGGTGCCGTCCTTGTCCCGAGCCAGCGTCTTCGAATAGCCTGATCTCCTCTCCGCCTCCCCAGCTGTAAAAGTGATGCACCGCCCACCGCCCACCCCGAGAACCCTCGGGGCTAACTTCCCCGCTCCCCTGCTCCCTGCACACAGGTGCCTCTTCGAGTAGCAAAACTGAAGATGCTGTACTTCCAAATACTATGCACAAAATCGATAACACCATAATGCAGGCCGGGTATGCTCCACTCGCAAGGAGGTGGCTGGCATCACGGAACTTGATGGCATGGAAGCACCTAGTGTAACGATGCTACTGGTCTGCACATCTACATCTCGGAAGGACTGGGGCCCAGTCCCAACGACAAAGCTCGCATGGCCGACGTGGGGGATGTGACTGGGAGCCTGGCCTTAGAAGCAGCTTCTGCCCAACACGGCCGTGGGCATGGGCGCAGCAAGTTTTGAAGATCTAAGCTTGAAGCATCCGTGACCTCCACACACTCCGTTGCACCGCAGACTGTGCAACCTCATTGAAAAGACTTTGCGATCCGGGCTGCCTGAAACTTTGATCGGCTTGGCTCGCCACGGGGGCGCTCCACCCCTTCAACCATGGCCTCAGCCGAAGCTGGGAAGATGCCATGGAGCCAAGGCAGTCCTTCCGAGTCCTCCACCGTCCGAGACCCGCAGCCATGACAGAAAACACGGCCATCAGCAGCTGAGGCGCCTCAGAACTCGAATCCTCTACACTGCTTACCTTCGGTTAGTAGGGAATGGAGGAATGGGGTACAACTATAACTACTACCATGCTTCCATTCCCTACTAACCAAAGGCAAGACTGAGCTCCTTCCCTGCAACAAGTCCCAACTCTATGCCACCGGGCCTGCCCCCATGGCCGCTCCTACGGCCAACAGCGGCCGGCAGGAGGCATCTTCACACGACTCTGCCTTCTCTGAACTCTACATTATTCGAAATAAGAATAACAAAAATAATAACAATCATGTAGAAATGTTGCTATTAGAATCATGTTAGATAGCTCCTCTTTCTTTGCCTCATTCTGGAATTCTAGAGCTGGGGCCAGGGCGGCTAGGGGCTTTCACTGGTTTTGTTGCCTAACGCTCAGCGGCGGTTTGGCTACCATACTGGTTGGATCATATCCACAAAGTAGTCTGTGTAGCTTGGCTTCTCAAAGAGGACCACGACTATTTACACAGCTTGGCATTTGAGCACGCAGCCGCGAACACAGCGTCTGCATGAATGCATCTGATCATTGGCGAGTTCCGTTGAATGCACACTTCTGGGATCTACTCTGCAAAGCTTGTGCTGCCTGCGTGGAAGCTTGTGGCACGTTGTTCGGAGGTATTGCGATCGGAGGCGGCCTGGGTCAGACGGCACGGCACGGCAGCTAAGACGACAAGATCAAAAAGAAGTTCATGGCAATTGCTGCACTTCTCAGGTCGACGCTTGCGCCTTTCCATGCCTTCGACCGCGCTGTCGCTGGGAGCATGCTGGCGAAGGCGGAAAGCTCCCGCAAAGGTGAAACACTGACAAGTATTCCTGCCTTGCGCAAGAAACCCTCTAGCACACTGGCATCGTTTCTGCTCTGCTCCTGCAGAAACATGATCAGCACTATGCAGAAATGCGCGAAACTCGAAACTGAGAGCGTGGCGATGCGGACAAGATGGCCGTCTGCCGTCTTTGCATTTGTGCTTGTGATGTCAGCCTTTGTGTCGGAATACCCCATTCCAAAAAGGCACTCGTGCTGGGATACTTCACGAGCCTTTTGCCATCGCTTCTTCGGTGGGTGATACCATCACTATCAGCAGCATTCGGACCCAACTAGCGAAGTCCAGATGCCCCATCTGACAACAAAACCGATGCGAAAAGCTGAGCTCAGGACAGAAATGCTTGACAGTGCAGTTGGCGGCAATGGCGGTGCGTTCGGCACTGAAAGTCGGGGGCCGGCTTTGGCCATCACAGCCCCAAGCACATCGTCATCACGTGTCGGGGGCGGCGCTGGTGCGGCGGGCACCGCTGGTGCAGCGGGCACAACTGGCGCTGTAGCCGCAAACGTGCTCGGGTTGCCCCCCAATAAATTAATTGCAGCTGCTGCACCCGAAGGGGGAGCTGGCAAAGTGGCCATTGTTTCAGTTCACGGCAGAGCGCCTGCCGGTCAAGGCCAGACACGATCTCCAAGCCGTAGCACAGCCGTCGCAAGCCATTGCTCACCAGTCATTGGTCTGCGGCCGGCGGCATGTCAACGTAGTTCGTATACTTTCCTACTCACGTCAATCCACTGACGAGTTTACACATCGTCAAACTGTCGCAAATTATGGTTGACCACATCACTTAGTTTATTGGAAACCTCGAAAATCTATCTTTCGCCCAAGTGCAAAAAGTCTGTGATGTCGAGCTCACGGTTTGTTATTCGTACCCAAACGACACTGCAAAGGTGAGGATGGGGAGGATGAGCAACATGAGAAGTCGAGGTGCTGGAGGTGCTGCTTGTGGTGACAATGGCAATGGTCTAAAACTAACTTGCGGCAGCAGGAGGGCTGTCAGTGGCAATCACAAGAGTAGCAGCGCAAGCAGTACCACTTGGAGGATCATGGGACTTAGTAAGTCAGGTTATAAGTACCTTAAGTGGGCTTAAGGTGGTTAAAAGTATAGTTCCCTTAGATATAACCCCCAGTTACTAAGTCCCATGATCCTTTAAGCAGGGGCAGCACCGGAACATACCGGAACCGGCAAGCAGCGCATTTGTGCTGTTGGAGCTTCATTGCCGCTTGCCTGCTCCTTCGGCTGTTGTGGTTTTGGCTTTTGAAAAACTTCATAGCGTTCGTCTTTTGCTCCGATGACCAACCACACACAACCGTGGAAGCTGCAAGCACTGACGAAAGCAGTTAAAACAAATTACAGCGATTGCTCACTGGGTGTTTTTGCACAGATACTTCCTGTCCATCATGCAAGTACACAACCTGGCAGAGAACTCGCTTCTTGTGTGGCCAGTGATTGCAACCCCCACATACCCCCACCATCTACAATACTTTTAAGCGTCCTAAATGTCACGAGTCAAGAGGAAAAAAAGTTGGCGTCTTCAAACCGCATCTAGCGCATGGACACGGCAAAATCCAGGCAGCTGAATGCTTTGACGTCGATCAAACAAAACATTGCACACAAACGGTTTCAGACGGCAATTAGCCTTTCCTCTGAGAAGAAGTCCAGCCGGCTGCATTTGCTGTGCGCATTGTTCTAGTGGCTTTCCTCTCTCTAGAAAGATTATCTCCCGTCCTCCACACAGGGCACTTACGAGGCCTGTTTCTGGGTTTGCGTCAGAATTCCGTACTTTGGACGCATGTCGATTTTGCACCCTGACGCGTGCACAACTCTCTCTCTCTCTCTCTCTCAGTCGCGCAGAGCAAGTCCACAAGTGAGACTACTCGTCAGCAGCCCTTTCAGCTGATTAACGCAAAACTTCTAACTGAGCCCAGGATCTACGGTTTTGAGCTAACGGCTGTAGGGTCCTCCAAAGGTCAGTATTACCAAAAAATCTGGAATGGGCAGCAGCCACCTCTCTTTTTGTAGGATGGTGATAGATATCGTGGTGTATTTGGTAGGGGCGGGGAATAGGGGAATTCGAGGAAACTATTTGATAGCGTTGGTACGCTTGCGTCATGGTCAATTCGGCCCAATGTATGCGAGGGTGGCCAGGTCTTTTCCTATGGAGGCGTCTGTAGGCATGTGCTGTTTGGTAGGTGGAGATGTGTTCGATTGAATCTTCATGTCTGAGGATATGTCCGAGATAAGAGATCCGGGATGAAATGATATTCTGTGATGGAGATAGAAGTTTGGGGGCGTACTCATAGGCAAGCTGGGATAAATATTCGTTGGAGCATTCTGCCTCCGATGGTTCCAAGACTTTATGATAAAAGGAACTTTTGATGTTGAAGATCTGTCTAAGGACCTTGTAGTGTAGCTTGTTCAGTTTAGTGAGGTCAGGTTGTAAATACATCTGCGATTCCGAGCCATACAGAAGGATGGCCAACACGATCTGGGAATGAACTAGCAGCTTTCGCTTAATGGTTATGGAGGGGTGCCTAAAGAAGTCATGTAGACATTTGGCCGCGTGCGAGGCCTGCGCATATCGCTTTTTAGCGTCCGCTTTGGCGGCTGAGTTATGAGTTAGAACAGCTCCTAAGTAATCGGCGTGGGGTTTAGGATCTATGCGGAGTTCTTGGGGTAGCTGTGGGTTGCTTCTCATGCAACAGAAGTCACATTGGCAAGGGTGGGTTGTGGTATCGGTTAGGTATATGGGCAAATCAGTGTTGATACAGAGAAGCTGGCACTTCTCGTGATTCAAGGACATGCCCCTTTTGTAAGAGTGGGCCTGTAATGTGTGAAGAAAACGGTGTAGGGACAGTCTCGTGCGAGATAATAAAACTGTATCGTCGGCGTACTCTATATCTGTAAGGCGAAAATCGGTAGTAAGTACTGAAGGTCGGGGGCCATACTCTGCCACGTACGCTGTGTACGTATCATGAAAAAGCACTGAAAGGGTAATGATAAACAAATACGGCGATAAGGGGCATCCCTGGCGGATGCCCTGGGCGAAGGCTTGCGGGCGGGACGTATAGCCCGCGTCCTTCACTCGAAAATGACAGTCTTCGTAGATTGACAGTACCGGATTAATGAATGTATCGGGGAGACCTACTCGCTGCAATGCGTTGCGCAACGCTGGGTGGGAGACTGAGTCAAAAGCCTGTGACCAATCAAGGAACAGAGCATAGAAGGATTCCTGGTGTCGCTCATGTAATTCAAGCAATCGTCGAAAGACGAATAGAGGCGTAGAGGTGTTTTGCCGGTTCTAAAACCGAACTGAACCGGCGAGATACGGTCATCAATAGCCGTTTTTAATCTGTCATGGAGAAGACAAGCATACAACTTGTAAACCGTGTTGATCAATGAGATGGGGCGGTAGCTTGTAGGGAGAGTGGGGTCTTTCTTTTTACCCTTAAAGATCATCACTATGTCTGCCACCTTCCAGGATTTAGGCGAGATTGCCTGCGTAAAGGTTTTGTTAAAGTGCGCCAGTAGCGCAACATGAACCGATCTAGGCGCGAACTTCCAAATTTCCGCCGGCAATTGATCGGGGCCAGGGGCTTTGCGATTCTTGAGGCGCGCCAGCACCCTTAATAATTCGGGTTCCGTAAATGGACTGGTGTCAATGGGAGCCGGGGGGAAAATAGGTTCGGAAGGGAGTTCTGGGAGGTTTCTGTGATTCCAGACTTTAGTGGCTAAATGGCTAGCCAAGACATCGGGTTTAGCGGCTTTGGTGGACATCTGGCCATTAGGTTTGCGAATTCCTTGGGTTCTTGGTGTGTAGTCCTTACGCAGAAATTTGAGAGTGGACCATTGCTTTGAGGGGGGGCCTTTAGAGTCTTGGAGCAGGTTATCGCACAGGTGTTGTTTTTTGTCTTTGCGGGCACGTCGTTTGATGGCTTTTCGGAGTTTTTGCAAAGCTTCGTGGTCATCCGGGGAGGTCGAGGAAATGCGATCAATGAGTCGTTTGGTCGGTTCCGATAAGTATTCTTTATGGTAGGTGCGTTCCTGTTTAGTGCGGGGCGCTATCTTCAGCGCAGCTTCCTGGAGCGCTGTGGCTTGTTCTTCCACCGAAAGCTTCTCGAATAGGGGTGGGGCGGAAAGACGTATGGTATCGCTCAAAGGTTGTCGGGGAGGGTAGGAATGCCTCCCGATTGTGGAGAAGGAGGTAACTCCTTTCTTGGCTAAGGTGTCGGCGCGTTCGTTTCCGTCGTGGCCCGAATGTCCTTTGATTTTCAGTAGCGATACGGTGATACTGGAGAGAAGGTGGTCCAGGAGGATGCGTAGTTTGGTTAAGAGTTGAAGGTGTTGCGTGGGTATGGAAAGGCCATGGAGAAAATCGTAAGCGAGCTGGGAATCGGTATAAACGTTAAGAGCAGAAATCGAAAGATGGGTTTTGTGTCTGGCGACATAACCCAGTGCCTCTAATAGGGCCTGTAGCTCGGCGGTATTGTTACAGCCCACGACTTGGAGCTCTAAGTTGTGGCCCACTGGGCCCCATGAGTCAGTCCAGGTATTAGTATTGTTGTGATGGATTGTGAAGCCCCATCCGGCTGGATTGCCTACTCGAACATTATATTGATCAGGGCAAGCACCGTCTGTGTATACGCAAGGCGCGTCCAACACAGGGGCAGTGCCTAAGAAGTGGACTGGTTGTTGCGTTACGTGCGCAAATGCTTCCGCGAATTCTCGCTTAAATTTGAGTTGGTCGTCTTTGGTTCGAGGAGGCGTGATTTTAGGTGGAGGAGGTTTAGGGGGTTTTTGAAACTTGTCAAAGGTGATCGTGAATGAAAGTGGGTAGTGGCGGTGAAACCACGGTAGTTTCCAACTGGTCCTGGTGGCCGCGGCTTTGATGTTGTGCAGTGACGTCATGGGCGCCAGCACATGATCAAGGCAAGAGAAGTCTGTGTTGTCTGGTTGTGTGGGAGATGCCTCCGGAGAGGACGCGATCTCCCTATATGAAACGATCTGGGAAGCCGGGCGCGTGTGGAAGGATGATGCGATCAAGTAGTCATTGTGTACCAAAAAGTCCAGCAACTTAAAATAATTGGTGGTATACGTGTCGTCCGCAGGGGCGTCGCTTAAGAAGACTGCTTTACCGATATGTGCCGAAAATTCTTCCAATTCCGTCGGAATAATTCTTGCGTTAAGATCTCCCACAAAAAGAATCAAGGAAGGGCGAGGAAGATTGCGATGGATTTCTTGGAGATCGTCCCAAAATTTATCTTTTCGGGCTTCATCGGCGTGGGGGTCCGATAGCCGACTAGGCGCATATAGCGTTACTAGATGAGTCGGGATTGGCTGTGTGCGTAGGGTCAGGGCCGCTATGCGGCCCGAAAAGGGAAGAAAGTCGGATACCAGCGGTATGCGGTGGGCAGGGATGTAAAAGCCCACCCTGCCATGTGCTCCGTGGGCGTGCCCGAAAGGAGGAGTTTACCTCCGCCTATTCTACGTTCGTCTGAAGAAGTGGACTTCGTCTCCTGTAATGCCAGGATATCAATCTTCCTTTGTCGCGCGAAGCCCGCTAGGGCTTCCTGTTTCCCA